TCTGGCTTGGCTTAGCTGCCACGTGCCTGTAAGAAATGAATAAGTAACACTTGTTTGTTTGTTGTTTTGTGTGCAGCCATCAGTCCCGCTGACAGAAAGAAGCCTGTGTGCAGTTCCTCTGATAACCTGAAACAACCACTGCAAAGTCTGGGGACTGTCTGGGTGATCACTTCCTCACACCAAGGTACGGTATGAAAACAAAAACAGTCGTGCGAGGCAGGGGTGTACATCCCAAAAACGATTATTTGAGACACAATTTAGTGCATGAATCTAAAGCTGGCTGTACACGGCGAAACCAAAGTTAGTTTAAGGCAGGGGTGTCAACTCCGACACTAAAAGGGCCACATAAATCCATAGGCTTTCATTTCATTTTAACATTTTGCTTTGACCCAATCTGGCCCTTATTTATTCCAAATCATAATGGCGCCTAATGTTGTATTGTTTCATTGTGGCCACAGTTTCTCCACAAACAAGAAAGACAGGTTTTTCCTAAAAACATATCCGAGCTCCCACCTGTCTTGAAAACCCCTGCATTCACTGTCCACTTTTCTTTTTGTCATTTTTTAGGGAAGACTGGCCACTTTTTATTTCTCCTCTTATATCAAAAACATGACTGCGAAACACCAGAGGGCTCCCGCAAGCAGGTCCTAAATGAATGGGGGTGAATGGAGCTAAACGGCGCTAAGATGAAAAGTTAAAATAGTTCCTAAACACTTGTGCAGGACATTCCTGTAACTAGGGAAAGTAGCAGGATGTGTTTCACTAGAAAAGCCATGAAAGGTTACCTGTATATTTCCTTTTTTTCTGCAGCAAACGGGTTTTGGGCAGCAGGAAGCTAGCATTACTGCTACTGAGTGTTGATTGGTTGCAATCACTGTCGCTGAGTGCCGATTGGTTGGCATTACTGCTACTGACTAGTGACTGGTTTCCGAGCTGATCAGCTCACTGGCTGAGTGAAGTCTTTCACTTTTACTGACGTCATGAACGTAACGTCAAAGCCGGTTTATGAGGAGCCTGGCCACTTCCTATTTCCTTTGTTATATCAAAAACAGGACTCTCGCAAGCGAGTCCTCAATGAATGGGAGTAAATGAAGCTCAATGGCTGAAAACAAAAAGTTAAAATAGCTTCTAATCACTCACCCAGAACTTTCCTTTAATTTTAGAAAGTAGAAGGATGTGTTTCACTAAAAAAGCAAAGAAAATATGTATGTTTCCTTTTATCTACATCAAAGGGCAGCAGGACGCTAACATTACTGCTACTGAGTGCTGATTGATTGGCGAGCGGAGCAGCTCATTGGCTTTTCGCACTCACAGACGTCATGGACGTACATGAGGCGCCGTTTAAACTCCTATAACTCGAGTTTAAAAGCTCTTAAAAATATAACAGCAGTGTTAAAATGTTTTATGCTGTTCTGTGTTTGGGAAATGGTTGCGTTCTTTTATGTTAAAAATTTGTAAGCCTTTATAAACTATGATTTTGCTCAAATGCTCCATCTTAACCCACTCATTTAGAACTCGCTCGGGAGCGCCCTCTAGCGTTTGAGAAACCCGGAAGACATTACAGAGTGGTGCTGTCACTGCTACTTTCACTGACGTCATGAACATAACCTACATGAGGCGCCTTTATGAAGTCCTATAACGGCGTTCAAAAGCGCTAAAGTGGTGCTAAAATGTTTTCTGCTTTTCTGAAAAGACAGAAAATGAATTCATTCTTCTATATAAACACATTTAAGCCTTTACAAACTATGATTTTGCTCAAAAGCTCCATATTAACCCATTCATTTTGGACTCCCTCCACATTACCGAGTGGCAGCTCTCCTCATTACACGTTCTTTGGTGAAACTTTCACCCAACTAGCTGCAGACTGCAAGCTGTGTTAAACATCATTACTGTGCAGCTTCACTGTTTCACAAAGCAGTTCGTAAATAATCAAAGTCACGGGCAACACATTTAGTTCAGTAGCTGTGTAGATCGTAATAACAACAGGTCAACAGGTATAGCACAGGCAGCAGTTCAGACTAGAACTAGCTAGAAAATAAGCAATGTTAGGTCACTCGTCGTGGCTCAGATGACTGATAAATGACCCATAAGTAGGACCCAGAGAACCTTCTTCTCAACTGTCCACTCTATTTTGTTTTCTTGTCCACTGTGTGCGTTGATTGTCTAGTTTGATCACGTGGTACATGTTCGCTGTGTTGATTGGCTGTTTCATGAAATTACTTTCTCATTAAGCAGCTGCAACTGAAGTTGCGTAAATGGTGCTTCACTGTGTAAAAGTAGTCGGAAATATCATCACGATTTCATTCTTTTGGTAAAATTCTGATTTTTTTTCCTAAAAATAACTGAATAGATAAATGGTTTTGAAGAAACAGTCATGTCAAGTTTAAACAGTAGTGGAAATATACACTGATCAGGCATAATATAATGATCACCTCCTTGTTTCTACGCTCATTGTCCATTTTATCAGCTCCACTTACTATATAGGTGCACTTTGTAGTTCTACAATTACAGACTGTAGTCCATCTGTTTCTCTGCATACTTTGTTAGCCCCCTTTTACCCTGTTCTTCAGTGGTCAGGAACCCCATGGACCCTCACAGAGCAGGTATTATGTGGGTGGTGGGCCGTTCTCAGCACTGCAGTAACACTGACGTGTTGGTGATGTGTTAGTGTGTGTTGTGCTGGTGTGAGTGGATCAGACACAGCAGTGCTGCTGGAGTTTTTAAATCACTGTCCACTCTATTAGACACTCCTACCTTGTCAGTCCACCTTGTAGATGTAAAGTCAGAGTCGATAGCTCATCTGCTGCTGCACAGTTTGTGTCCTCTAGTCCTTCATCAGCGGTCACAGGACGCTGCCCACAGGACGCTGTTGGCTGGATATTTTTGGTCGGTGGACTATTCTCAGTCCAGCAATGACACTGAGGTGTTTAAAAAAAAAAATATATATATATATATATATGGGTGTATCATAATCTTTATCTGATTATCTTATTATTAACATTGTTTCTGACATTTAAAGATCAACATAGTTGAACAGTGCTGTGATGCATTGTTGTATTTTTATACTTGTAATGCATGGATTTCATAAGCGAATCATGAGAGTAATAAATAATAAATCTCTGTCTATTTCTGAAGGTGTCCCAGGACAAGAGGCTGGATTGGCGATAAATCTGATTCTGAAGAATCCCTTCTCCAGCTTGGCCTCCTCCAAACAGCTAAGCCCAGCTGACCCTGTGGTCAAGTAGACGCCCTACACTTGGCCTAAAAGACTTGCAATATTGCAGAGAATAAGGAAATTCTCTGCTATTCTGCCAGGATTCAAAGACCTGATCCAACTGATCTCTGCACTCTGGGCATTGATGAGTTTGATACAAGATTCCCTTATAAATGTTAAACTCGCCTTATAAAAGTGTCCAAAGAGCCAGCATCTACTTTTGCACCATAATGCATTCCCAACATATCTACCCTTTGTTTTCCACGCTTCCCTCAGGGGCCTCCCAGATCCTACGCTGCAGTATAGACGTTTTACTAGAATGGCTTAGAGTGACTTTGCTCTGCACGCACAACAGTGGGGGCTCCTAGCTTCTAGCACTTTCAGCCAGTCTCCTAGGATGGACCTGTTGCCAAGCGCAGAGGAAAAGGGATGGAAAGAAAAGAAGGACAGTGTCAGCACAGCACAAAAAAAAGGCTTTTCCATCTCTCTCTCTGTCAGCCATCAGTGACCTGGAAAATCTGCATACACATGGGAAAATCAAGGCACTTTGTAATAGGGAGCTGCACAAGTAGTCATGTCTGTTCTGTTTAAATTCTGTTCGCTTGTGTGGCTTTGATGTAATGATTGTAAAATGAATTAAATTTTTTCAGTTCCTCACCACCGTGCCACCCATTTTATGCTATATCTTATGCAGTATCTTGTCAATTCAGTCTCATTACTTCTAGAAAAAAAAGATTGATTGTCACAGTCACTCTTTAAGATAAAGGTTCCTAAATAGTTCTTGGCTTGGAAAAACCATTGAGTAGAACTTTTAGATGATGTGGAGGTCAAGTGACCTCTCATTTACAAAACGGCCTCTTTAAAGGTTCTTTAGGGAAACAAAAGCAGTTCTTATAAGTTATCACCTTATCATTATAAGTTACCGAAAAACCCTTCCTGGCACCTTTATTTTTAAAACTGTTGGTGCCAGACCTTGTAGAGAAGCGCTTTTGTGGACATGCTCAAAATGCTACCACTGAACACACTTGCTTTTCCATAAGCTTCATGAACATGACATGACATAATTCGACTATGTTCATGTTTTTACAGATTATATACAAATGAATTGATTCTTTTGAGCTTCCAACCACGCCTTGCCAATTATTTTATGGTTATCGTGTACAGTATGTTGTCTATTCACCGTCATTAATTCCATAGAATGATCACATTGGTGCCCCATGGTGTGGAAGAGCATTTACTGGACCTGCCTTTCACCAAACTCATAGTAGCTTTCGCTGAACACATTTGCTTTTCCATGAACTTTGTGCACACTGCACCAACATGAGGTTTGGTTCGGCTTTTCCCCCAAAAAGTGTTTAGTGAGCACTAATACAGATTGAAGTTTGCACAATGGAATGTCTGCAGAAGAGCTCCACTGAAGCGGAGTTAACACGCAAATTACACAACGGCTTTTCATCTTTGCAAACACTGCAGGCAAGCCTTTCTTTCTGAACAGGCAGACTTAACATTATAGTAATAACACCAAGGAGATCTAACGCCTGCAATACTATGGTGTGCTTGGAACATTAACTAGTGATTGTACTTGCTAAACAGCTTCAGCACTTAAGTCAGGAAATAAATGATATGGCATATGTAAGAATGTACAATGAACATGCCATCTTACCCTTAACGTTACATGTATTCTGCATGCACAAAATTTGAAATGTAAATGCTGTTAAGTTTCATACTTGCTCATCAATCCAGTCAGTACATACTGGCGTCAGCAGAAATATTCACAGGGCAAAGCTTTGGCTGCTTAAGACTTTTATTGTTTCTGTGAACACAGGGTGACAGTGGAGATAAGTAACAAAAACATTTTTAAAAATCAACCACAGTGTTACAGATGTGTAAAAATGTACAAAAAAACCTTCACTTTAAATTTTATTTCAGGTCAAACATATAAAATGGTGGATACAAAAGGAACAAATGCTAAAAGCAGCCTATTCTACAGATGGAAAAATAAAAAAAACAGAGCCATTTCCGTCCCCTAGCGTTGGTCCCCTAAGCTGGACTCAAGAAGGGGGGGAGCTCCCCGCCTCCGACTTCCCAGCATCGCTGCTCTCGCTGGCCTGCCTCTTCATCACCATATCCCGGGCAATGCACATAACCTGCCCGTCACCGACACTCATCACCCCTGACCTGCGTAATACCAAAGAGATGGTGTTAGTCAAGCAAAAACATTCAAATCTTTCAAGAACATTGACTACAGCTCAGCCAGACATCATAGCACAGAAATGCAGCAGAATGACTCACTTCTGCTGTGCCTCTTCAGTCAGGGTGCCCATGCCTGGCTGGTTGTGCTTCCCAAAGAAGAAACTCGACCACCAGTGACCAGAGTCCTGCTTGGGCAGGCCTAAAACATAAGGACAATAGGACAACAGATTCAGTGAGAAGAGTTTCAATAGCAAGCAAATGCCACAACACAAAATCAGGCCTTTGTGACAGCACTGAATCCCAGGATGACCATAAAAATGTACGCAACGTCAGTCAGAGTCCAACAATGTACGATAGAGGTCAAATACCTGCGTAAAACTACCCTAAAAAGGGTAACAAGTGAGCCACTGATTCTGAATCAGTTCCTCAAAGACTGATTACCATGAAATGGAGTCTGTTGCTTAAACAGACACCCATATGTCAACAGAGCTTAGGGCATTGATATGGGTGAAGTATATAGAAACATTCAACTATGTCGCAGTAAAATGTCCTAAATGAGCCTCCAGGTCACCTTCGGATGTGACCGTATGACATCCGCAAGGTAAGTGCTCACCTGGGTGATGTGGAATAACCTCCCCGCTGTACTCTGAACTGCCACATGAGCTGCTACTTGAGGTAGAGCCCAGGCGCCCTGAGGAAACACAGGCAGATTCATGAACATCAGACTATTCAACAGAACTACGAAGATGGTGGCGCTCAGATCTAAACTATGTTCTGCAACGCCTCTTACTTCGGTAGTAGTCATGGGTGGCTACAAGAGAACCGCTGGCTGGGATTGCTGCCATGCTCCAGACGTCTAAACCGGTCCTTAGATGGTAACCTGGTAAGCAGAGGTGAGATGTGGTTAGTTTCAATGAAATGACAAATGATGGATCAGTTATTATTTTTCATTATCGATTATTTGCCGAATATTCGTTACTAAACCCATAGTGAAAACAGATTTAAAGATTCCAACACTTTATATAAAACACAGTATTGTTAGTGTTTAAGTCCTAAACTCAGGGAGTTAAGCTCTTAAAGACAATTTAACGCTCTTGACTCTAAACACTACACCGAAGCATCGAATAGGCAGTGAAATGAATAAGCCCAGCAGCTGTCTGAGTCTCACAGCTGTGCTACTGAGAGTTCACAGTTCCGTTACAAAAACACCAACATGGCTTCTCAAGATGAGTGTTTACATTCCTTCTCAAGATGGAACAAACGGTACAATCTTCCCTCTTTAAATCACACGATAAAGAAGACCAAAGACCCAAGTCCAAAGACCAAAGCAGGGGATTTTTGCTGTACTAAGGAGTTTGCTGAGTCGAATCGGATGCTGTCCTAATGGCGTTTAATACTACAGCCCATGTTAATTTAGCACGTTTGCAAGAACCCCGTTATAATGACAACTTGTAATAAAAAAAATAATAAAAAACACGACAGATTAGGGAAGTGTATTGTGCTACTTTCAAGAAGAAACTAGTTGTTTTTGTACATGGCTAGCGGAATCGCTAACAGCACCCAAACAATGCTTCCTTCACCGGCTGCCACCACCGAGGACGACCGTTGACATCTGCACAAAAAAGACAGGAAGAGCCGTCCGTCGACTGAACTCACCTTCTTTCTCTGCGTGCTGATGTTGTTATAGCACCCTGCGCAACTCAGTCGGAGGCTTTGGGGAGGAAACGCTAGGCGACGGGGCCCATTTGAAAAGATTTGGGTGGCTGAAACCCTCCACGTCCTGTGAAGATACCGCAGTGCTGTCTGAAAAACAACAGCCGAGTGCGGGGCTTTATATGGAGGGGTGACGTCAGTGAGACCCACCGTGTGGCCAAACTGGCTCAAACCAGATGGCTGGTCTGCTTTATCGATGTTTTGTTTTGTTTTGGTTTGGTTTTTTTTGCCGTGTAGTGGGTGGACAGAACGTCCCAAGGTAGAAAATGTGGAAGACCCAGATAGAAAAGTTCATTAAGTAACGACCAAACCGTTATTTTATGTGTATATATGGAGTTTAATGACATTACAGTTAAACTGTACTACACGAGGTGCCCGAACTATATCACCGTCCCTGGTGGTCTAGTGGTTAGGATTCGGCGCTCTCACCGCCGCGGCCCGGGTTCGATTCCCGGTCAGGGAATGAAGTTTTATCGTTAGTTTACAGTTTAGTTCGTATAGAATGAAGCAAGCGATTCGATGATTCGCAAATGGGGGACTTTGTACTATTCCATTCAACACCTCTCGATCCAAGACTCTGTACTGATGGCGATTTTTGCCACTGCTTTTCTATTCTAACCTACTGTAGTAATCACGGATTGGATTTATGCATTGGACCAGCATGCACACTTAAATATTGTGTTTGTTACCACCCTGCTATGCCTCCCCTACCACTCTCCACGCGTGGTGAAGAGCAACACTGATCGAAAAAAAAAAAAAAATCATCACCAAATGAGCACAGCTTACATATAATTAATCAATTAGGTACTATATATGATGCAAGAGGAGTAGTAAGGCTTTAGTACTACTACTGCTACTACTACTACTACTAACAACAACAACAACAACAATAATAATAATAATAATAATAATAATAATAATAATAACTTAAAACATACTTTTTATTAGAATTGGAAAGGTCGCTCTTAAAATGTAAATATATTTGCTCCCAGTAATCCCTACATACTTAAAAAGATGGGTCTGCAAAGGTTGTTTAGTAAAGGCCATGGTTCTATTTAGAACCATGAGTCCTGTATCGAACCATTTCATCTTGCATGGTGAAATGGTTCTTCAGATTGAATTTTATATGGTTCAAAAAAAGAAAATCATCACCAAATGAGCACTATGGAACACATCTTGCATATAATTATAATTAATCGATTAGGTATTATGTATGATGCAAGATCCCTCCGCCCAATGACAGCTGGGATAGGCTCCAGCACCCCACCGCGACCCAGAAGGATAAGCGGTTTAGATGATGTGTGTGTGTGTGTGTGTGTCTGTGTGTGTGATGCAAGAGGAGTAGTAAGGCTTTAATAATAATAATAACTTAAAAACAATACGTTTTATTAGGATTGGAAAGGTCGCTCTTAAAATGTAAATGTATCTGCCCCCAGTAATCCCTACACACTTAAGAAGATGGGTCTGCGAGGGTGGTTTAGTAAAGGACATGGTTCTATTTAGAACCATGAGTCCTATATAAAACCATTTTATCTTGCATGGTGAAATGGTTCTTCAGATTGAATTTTATATGGTTCTAAATAGAACCTTCTTGAAAACTGTTCTATATAGTACCAAAAACATGTGGTCTATTGTTAAGCTTGATATAACAGTAGAAGAACCCTTTTTGGTGTTGAATAGAACCTTTGAGGAATCATGAATGGCCCTGTAATGACACTGAACGGCCTGTAGAAGGCTGTAACCTCATCATACCTGTTGTACATGAATGATTAACCACTCTAACTTTTTGCCAGGATTACTTCTGTATTTGGGGACTAAAATAGTTCAGGTGCTGTATGTTGATAAGGGACAGTTCCGGGAACCGGGTCTAACTTTAAATCAAGGACATCCAGGCGATACGTGCGAGCTTTAGTCAACACAGTTCATCAGTTTGTGATAAAGCAGGCAAGATGGGCAGCATTCTGTGGAAAACGGGAACATAATACCACTGTTTCATGTTTGGACACGGACAAAGGAGAAGAAAGGGAAAAGGGGGAAGCACTCACTCTAGTCCATACCATGTTTTTAACCTAAAGTCCTTGTTGTCCTTATATGGAGTTAAAGTTGCATTTTTCTGCACATCCCAGCCTTAAAAGGCACTAATCATAATACACATACTGTACTTTTAGGTTTGTCTGATATTTTAAGCTACATTTGGTTCAGTGATGACCAGTCAACCTTGCATAAATATTAGAAATGTAATGTAATATTAAAATTTTAGATATTCAGCATAGACCAAGGACTTTTAATTTAAGCCAAGGATAGGCAGTTCCGGTCCTGGAGGGCCTGATTCATGCAGTTCCCTGCACTTCCATTCTCAAGCACACCTGATTTAACCCATCAGCTGACTACCAGGTCTACTGTGGTCTGCTGTGCTAGAGTATGTAAGTCAGCACAAACTGTGCTGGACTCAGGCCCTCAGTTCCCCCACCCCTGATTTAGGCCCTTGCATTCATGTGGCACTTTCTTACGGGCTCTTCAATAACTGTTAGACTGCCATCTAGTGGCAGTTGCATGCACAGACAGCGCTAACCCCAGCAAGTTTCAAGACTAGTCACAAAAGAGAACGGCAGAGTAAAAGTCATTTGAAGGAATGCTTTATTGATATACAAACATAAACACAGACATGAACATAAATGATAAGTATTCCACGAATGTCTCAAAAAGAAAACCAAACCCTTTCATTTTGTACACCTACCTAAGCTACGAACCCTAAATTAAAGCTATATGGTGCTCGTGCTCTCTACAACAGCCAGTCCCATTTACACACATGTAGCTCGATGGTGTTCTACCGTTTTCTTCAGAAAACATGCTTCACTACATCTTTATCTCTCCGTGGTAACTAGAGCTTGAGCCACCGACCCGATAAATGTCATAAGATGGATCCCAATGGCCAACTTCCCCTGCTGTGTTACTGGCAGCTCAGACGTACATATTTCTGGCAAACTACCATAAAGAATCCCTTGAATTTCAGCTCAGTATATGATAATGTGTTGTAAACTACTACTGATACATAGAAAAGAGGTAATGCTGAAATACAGGTGAAAGAGGCAAAATAAAAAGGCTTAATTTAACCAAAAAAAGAGAGAAAAAAAGAACTAAATTTGGCCAAAAAATTTGAACTCATTGGGTTTTTAAATAAAAAGTGACCGTGCTACCTTTCTGCACAAGTAAGCAGTCTTGTGTAACTTAATGTAGATAACAAAAAGGAGTTTTGACACCACTGGTCTTTAGTCAGTGTTTTACATGTTGGGGTTAGTGCAGGCTAACGCAAGAGCTATATTTCATAGTGACACTTATGTGGTAGTTAGTGTGAGTGATAATTGGCGAAACAGCTCTTCGTTTCAACAGCAATAGGTCTTTAAATGGCCTCAGATCGCTAGTAAAGCAGTGGCACAAAGCAAAGGCTGGCAGACTCTAATCTAGACAAAGCACAAACAAAACAACCCCATCAGTTTCATACTGGAACTCAACCGAAGAAATAGATCCAAGGGCAGAAGAGGACCGAACCGGGAAAGAGAAAACAACCTTAAATTCAACATGCTTTGACCAGCAAAAAAAGAAAAAAAAAGTGAAAAAGCAACCAGAGTGCAAGTGTAAGGCAGACAGAGAGGATTAGACATTCACCAAATACAGTACAGCAAAGCGTTGCTTCACATTGTACTCGGAGTAAAAAAAGGACTCAAATTAATCATCAGCAGCATAGAAAACTGCAGCACGTTCCTCTTTTGTGAGTAGTTCTAATGTTAGCCCCTCCCCTCCATTTCCATAGGTTCTCCTCTCTTTTACCCCTTAACCATCTGATGAATGCTGCTTGGCAGTAGAGTTTAAATATAGTTATTTGTATTTATTTATATTCATATATAGATAAAAGTTATGTAAAAACATTATGCAAAGCAGTGTAAAATACTTTATAATACAAAATGGTTTAACATTTTTTCTCTTTTTGTACAACCTCTTTTGGATGACTTTTGAAGGTCACACAAGCTGTAGTGTGGGTGTTTGTGTGCTTGTGTGTTTGTGTGTGAGTGATGAGGTGAGACGAGCACATGCAAGCGTTGGTGGAAGAGAGGCTGGAGTAGAGAGGGAGAGGTGGAGAGAGAAAGAGCGAGAGAAGTGATGGCAGCTGTAGAGGGTCAGGCTTCATTAAGGGATGAAATGAGTGTCCAGTTGGTAGTGCCGAGACTCAGAACGGAGCTTTGTCCTGCACAGGGTTCGAGTCGGTCGGAGGCGGAACGCCGTCACCGTTGGTTCTCCCTCCAACCACCTTAGACTGCAACGATAACCAGACAGTCCATCAGACAGGCAGACCGATATTAAAGTACACTTTTACTGCTTAAAGAAAAACTCCAGCCTTTTTAAAACTAATATTGATCTGCTGCTCCTTTATCAAACCACATACAACCACTTTGTTGGATTTCGCTGCACTTGGAAAAAGAACACTCTGATAAAAGTCAATGGCCAGTTGGTGAATTGAGTGAATAAACATTTGAAATTCGTTAACATGACAGCACCACCCAGTGCACCGGAGAGCAATAACGGGTTGCTGCCCAGCTACCTAGCACTGCCTAGTAGCCCTGAGGGCAACGACAGGCTGCCGCTCAGTTAGCGCCTCCCTCACCTCATATTTCAGAGCCCAGCCAATGGACTACGCCTGACATTCAACCCCAGTGGTTGTGCTATGAAGCTGGAGGAGTGAGGCAGCTTGGGGAGAACACCTAGGTTTGATCTGGGGAAGGAGCACGGACAGCTTAAAAGGAGGACGTTCAAGGGCCAATGGAGAGTGACCGCACAGCAGCAGACAATAAGCTACAGAGCTGAGAAGTCTGTGATACTATCAGGAAGCCAGATGAGTGTTTTAGCTTGAGTGCTGCTGTTTGCTGCTGAAAAGCAGCCTGTTTGTTATATTTGGCAATAAAATGGTCTTTCCTGCTGCCGCCAACCCTGCCTCCTGTGTCCTGTGTCCTTTCTCCCCGCGAAGCACGGACATACGGCTACTATGTAAATCTGAAACTACAGCCATTCCCTTATAAACAATACACAATCAGACAGACACAAGAGAATGTCTTATCAAAGTGGTTCTGGGGGTTTTATGATGTTTTATCCAACATCTGGACAGTAAAGCAACAAGGTAAAAACATTTCTGGTTACATTTGCTTTTTACAAGGTTTTCTTGCATTCCTGCAGGTTCAGGCAGAAACCCGTGAAAAGCACATATTACTAACTCAATACCACACATTCTTCCTTTTGAAAAACTAGCCCCGGCACAAGAATGACACGTTTACAACTTAATTTAATGGAGCTTGACTGAAGAATTATTCACTGTTCTGCAAAAATATGCACATTGCATGATTATAAACATACTTATTTGACTGGCTGAGTTCAGCAACTGCCCAATGCATTAAACTACACAATGGCTTCTAATTTAAGTGTGTTTCACGTTGGTGGGGTTTCTGTTCAGTACAGTTCAGGGAAATACGTTAAAGTTATTACCTGTGGTGACTGACTGTGAGCTACAGATTTAACAGGCCCAGCACAGTATTTTTCCCTCATAATCAAAACCCTAACTTAGTAGCAAATCAGTGATTACCTGCATACTTTGATTTAGCCCATGTTGAGTGCTAAGTGCATAAAAATGATCAACACACTGATGCCAAATCCTAGACATTACAGAATGTACTTATTAACTACAGCGAATCACAACTACAAAATATTGCACATACATGTACTGTGAAATCAGCACACCCTCCAACCCCACTCAGCGCATATAACGTTACCCACATCAGCATATTAGAGATTATAAATGCTCTGTTTTGGGCTGTAAGAAGGAGTTACTGTCACTGCCTCTCTGCTCAATAATAGGACCTAAATAAGATAACTCATATTTCTGTAGTTCACTGTTTTTTCTTTTGCCTGTTATAATTTCCATCCACTAGCATAATCTGTATCAACAAAAAAAAATGAAGCATGGGATATTAGAGTAAGTTCATGAATTTGTTTGTCACAATCATAAAAATGCATCAGCTGCACAGTTTCATACTGAAAACCCAACTTTATGAATGGCTGTACTTTCTGTGTTTAACTAAACTCTGCTAGCATAATGCTGACTTCCCTTAGAATCTCTACTAAATTTCCTATTATTTAATTTTCTATTATTTTAGCATCAAGGTAACTGGGCAGTTTGCTCAATTTCCCAGGTTGGATTAAGTACTTCGGCAGTTAGCTGTAGACTTTGAAACTTGTAAAACATGCTTTTAACAAATGTTTACTCTGTATTGTAAATGCTTAAATGTAAAACATAACTCTGAGGTTAGGTGTTGACCCTTAGCTTGTTAGCAACCTGTACTGGTAAAACAAAATCACCTTCTTATGTAGCGTTTGTTCAGTATGGTTTAAAGCCTTTTATTTTCAAGATGAGTTCAAATTATAATCAAGCTCATCCCTAATTTGTGTTCTGTAGCTGTGTTGGACTCATACATGTATCCTTAGGTTAGTCTGAGGTGCCTGCTCAATGTTTAAAACTGGGCTGTCATGTCAAGAGGTCATCACGAATATGAAATTAGATGGGAATCACAAAATGAAATAAAGCAGACAGAGAAAATGAAAAGGATAACACACTCGTTTAAATGTTTTTTGGGGGGACATTTCTGTACGATCACTGAAATGCATGAACATAATTGTCTGAAATCTTAATTTGACAGAAATTAATCAGCAACTGTGCTTATGAAGTCTAGCCTTACCTTGATGTTCCCAACTTTGTCCTCAAATGATTTGAAGGTTGGGGAGTTCCTATCAAAACAAAGCGTTTATATGTTATTCCCAATGCTGTGGGAGGCAGAGAAGCAGCATATACTGTAACTGAACATGCAAAAACAATTCTAAGTAGTCGAAATGATCCATAGTAGTATAACATCTGATCTGCAGGCACACAGAAAAAAGTTCCACACAACATTTTTACTCTCAGATTTCATGAAAGTCTTGCGTACTGAATATTCAACAGGTTATTAATAGGCTAATAAATAGGATTAATAGTCACTAGGTAAGCAAATAAATGCTAAAAACATTTAAATGTAAACACTACGGTATGTAACGTATTATATTTCATTAGGGCAGCATTCTAAGACCAAACACAAGGGCAAAGAGGGGCTTCGGTACTGGAGTTGACCTGAAATACTTTACCTCATGGCGGGCATACTTATCGAATGGCGAATGGAGTAGTTGCTACTTCGAAAGCATTAAAAGGAGACAAGAGGTGCCAATGTTAACAAGCAAGCAGGAGTATTCGAAACAACAAGCATAGCAAGCAAGCAAACCAACACCTAATGGCAAGAAGTAAATTTCATAGCCAGTTAAATATTAAAAACAGCTTTAAGTGTATCTAGCACCAGTATGCTATGGGCAGTTTTAACATTAATATTGTCCAGAAGCAACCAGCTGGAGAAGCAAGCAAATAAAAATAGAAATTTAAGAATAATTCATTCATAAATTAACTCATAATCCAGAAAGTGATAAGGTTGAGTGAGACTAAATGATTGAGAATTATTGAAGACTCTGGCTATGGCAGCATACAATACCACTGGGATTTATAACCTGAATCCTAAAGGTACAGCTGCACTACTAAGTCTGCATCTTCAGGGTTAAGGCAGCCGATTATTAGACCACACATCATCTAGAATCCCTTACATTTACAAATCAGCATGATCAGCTACTATTTGTCTTTGTTTTACTAATTATTCTTACCCAAAGGAGTTAGAGAAAGGCAGAGCTCTGTGGGCCAATCAGGTGCAGCAATTAAAAGGAAAAGGGGAACACAATCAGGGTGAGCATGAGGCATCAGGCAAGGTCAGCGCAGGCAGAATAAATAAATAAATAAATAAACAAACAGAGATATATCAGGTCCCACAGTGTATAACTGAGTTGAAAGTGAGTTAATTAGCATAGTCAAGACTATTTTACAGTTAACTATTGTAAGAAATGGAAAAATGGCGATGAAGGACAAATGGAAGTACATACAGATGATGGTATGGAATAAACAAATGGCAGATTGTTGGACTATACAGCTAAATCACTAACCAATAGTGGCCAGTACTGAGGTAAACATTAAGCAGATATATGTAATATTAAATCTAACCTAAAATATTGTTACTATTCTGGCCCTTAAAAAACCTGCTGGGCAACCAAAGTATTAATAGATTGCATGCTTATGATCTGATGAATGCAGCCATTAGCCTGGCTGTAGAGTAATGCAATAGAGACTGCCTGGAAGGACAGCTGGAGTTACTGCTAATCCCCCAACAAGGCTTTGATACAGACATACTGACAGGCAGTCTTGTAGAAATACCACCGCAAGGGAAATGAGTGCTTAGACTGGTCTGGTCTTGTCAGAGATCAGAGTAGATTCTACCTCTATAAATGTCCTGTTTTTTCTAAATCGCTTTCTCCTGCTGTCACATTGATGTCTGTGCAAAAGTTTGGGCACCCCTGGTCCAATTACGTTCTGTTTATTTTCTAAATGAAAATAAGCTAAAAAATCCTCCGGTGAATATACATACCATGTGCATACATATATATATATATATATATATATATATATATATATATATATATATATATATATATATAAATCCTCCAGTGAATATACTTCTGCACATTTTAATGCACAATTAATGTTTGTTATATTTACAAATTGGGAAAAATATCAAACGTAGCCTGCACAAAAGCTACGGCACATATAAAAGTATTTAAAAGTATTTTTTTTACCAGTGTTGAAATCTACAAATAATAAGAAATAGCACACTTCAGTTTGTTGAAAAACGTTTTTTTTTTTTGGCCAAAACCGTCTCATTTTAAATCAATGTCAGGCCGTGTATTTGTAACCATTTCATGTAACAGCTTTCTGTGAGGGAGCTTTTAGAGGTGTGTAACTCCTCACGTCTGGTTCCTATCACCACCAGTGTGAACAATTTGGACTTGGTAAGTTTCTCTAGAATTAAGGATGTGACATTACACCACTCTGAATAACTTAATTACCATTTAATTATGAAATTTTGAAAAATCGGTGGAATTCCCCTATACTAAAGTTTGTTCCCAGTAGAATGTGTTAACTCATTTTCACTTAAACATCAACAAAATATGTAATTGGACTGGGGTGTTCAAACTTTTGCATGCGACTGTATGTGTGTTACAGGTGTGGGAATGACTAATTAGGAGTTTGAACAAGGTGTGGTTATATGGATCTTGCATATCCTAAGTTAAATATTTTGTCAAGTGTCACAGATAGATTTAATCCAATCAGGTAAACAAAGGAAATTCTGCTTGAAAACCTTTAAAAGTTGGACAGCTGATGTTTTTTAGGTTTGGTTTTTGCATAAAACAGGCCTTTTGTGTTTTGGTGGGTAAAATGAAACAAATATTGCTGCTGCGCAAATACGGCACAAAACACGGAAATTCCAAAGCCACGGAGACCTTGGCACAGTGCAGGAAGGAAGACAGAGCAAATGAAAGATCCGTAGCAGCTACAGAATGAGCACTAATGGACTATGGGAGCATGCAGCAGTGATGCAGATGAGCGAGACAGAACAAACAGATAATGGTACAGACAGTGACAGTACCTAAAGGCACTATAACTAGAAGAACAGAGCTCTCTCTGTTCTACCAACAGATCAAATGAGCAGTGCTGGGTGACTGTGTAATGACAAAGTACATTAAATTTGACAGATACATTGTGGGTAACAAAAATTCAGACACTTTTGTTTTTGTTATTCAATAACCTTCCAGTGCATATATCCACTTCCAACTTACACACAATGTCTTTTGACCTTTGCACATACAAATATAAGCAAAAAAAGTATACATATTAATGAGCATAAGCAAAAACAGGCTTAAAATTTCCTTATAATAGTTCCTTATAATAATGCTGTAAAATTGACCTTGGTGGAATTGGTTGCCACTGGGTTTCACGCAACAAGTAGCAATCAGGGTGAAGGAGAAAGAGCCTCCTAAGGTCTCATGGACAACATTAAACAGCACTCATATAGAAAAAGCCATAGGCAACCTTAAACATGTCTGTCAGTACAGCTGGCTTGATAACACGCAAGTGGAAAATCCACGGAACCATAACTAATCGTCCTCAGACCGGTGTGCCTCGCAAGATTTTACAACAAGCTCTAAGACTAATGATAAGGAAGGTGAGAGAGCAGCCAGCAGTCACCGGCAAAGAGCTGCAGGATGACCTGAAAGTAGCAGGAGCAACTGTTCCTACACCTCAAGGAAAACTCATGTGCTGAAAAAAAAAAAAACATTTGTCTATTTTTACCTTTATTTAAACATATTTTTGTTCATACTTTTAAGTAGAAAAATCAAAAGACATTATGTGTGTAAATTTAAAGTGTTTAAATGCAATGGAAGAATATTAAATAACAAAGAAGTGTCTAAGTCAGGGGTGCACAACTCCGGTCCTGGAGGGCCAGTGTCCAGCACAGTTTGGTGATTTTCCTGCTCAAATACACCTGATTCAGCTCATCTGTTATTTGCCAGGATTAACTGGTGTGTTTATGTAAGGGAACTACAAAAACTGTGCTGGACACTGGCCCTCCACGACTGGAGCTGCACCCCTGACCTAAGTACTTGTTCCTCCCTTAACTGTATGAGCATAAGACCAATGTGATAATGATAGTCTGGTCATGAATCAAATATAAACAGTTTTCTCCAAACCTCAAGTGTAGTCCATCAGCCAAGACACGTACACTATTTAACAAGTTTTCTTCTTCAGTTTTGTACTGGAACTGCAGGGCCAATGTAGCTAACAAATAATGGAAGCTTATAGCTAACATCTGCATTGTGTAAACCTAAAAAATGATGCCTACATCACACATTTGCTTTAAACCTTGTGGACGAGTGTGAAATAGACTTGTCAGCATGTTCTGATGTTCTGTATTCCACACAGTTACCTAAAAATGGCTAAATGTATGGACAAAATCCAGGCTTTAAGATGATTCCTACTACTGTTTTTATGTATGCCAAGTACTGAGGTCCATTTTTTTAGAATAGCAGTATGATATACAGTGTCAGAAGCCACATAAGCAAGTCTATTTGACATTAACTCACAACTCAACACAGTTTGTGATGGTCTGGGTGGGGCATATGCTCTCATTACGTGTGAGCTACATTAGACCTGCAGTTCCAGTGTTAAACCAAAGAAGCACCAGACACCAAACATATTTTAGCTGATCTGCTACATTTAGTGGGAAAATTGCACACATTTGAGCTGACAGGTTACCTCATGTCTCCCAGTTTCCTAGTGATAGCAGAGCCCACGGTGGAGAAGGCAGCAGAGGTCTTCTGTCCTGCCTGAGACAGTGTTTCCTGAGTCTTCTTGTACCTGTGAGAGGACAGGATGACAGAGTATGGGGATCGATAGCAGAGTAAAGACAGAGTGGTGAAAGACAGAGGCAGAGAAAAGAAAGGATAAAATTACGAATATTGTGAGGATTCCTGCCTTTTTGAGTGATATTATATGGCTCTTGATAAAGAAGTATGTCCACCAGGGGGAGATATAAAGACTCAGATGAGATACATGGCACCATCAGCAGAGGCATCAACTAGCTTGTGTTAAAATGAGAGAAACTGACGTTATTAGCAGACTCGTCTGCAACTGCCCCACCTTTAAAAACTCCACAAACAACTGCTGCTCTAATTCTGAGCAACATAGCTGACTCAGCCATCTGAAAAAAAGGCCCAAACACAGCAAGCAACCATGACACAGCGATTCTACTACTTCACCGCTACAGCATGAGGGAACGCAGCAAAGCGGTATGAGGTGGAAAAAGATACATGAAAAACATAAAACTTAAACCAAAAGAGCAGAAAGAGAAACCAAAAACTCACACTTCAGAGTGGGCAATGTCATCCAGAGTGGCGGAGGCTGAAAGATATCTACAAACAAACAGGGTGAACAAGTTCATAGTCTTACTCTCGCAAGCACAAATGAATCTGGGACAGTAATACATGCATGATTAGAACATTACAGAACACACAATCAGTTATAGGCATGACTTCAAACACAAGCATTTAAACATACCACCTCTAAAACTGAGAACAAGCCCAATGCAACTTTAGCCCCACATCAGGATCACTAAGAAACCAACACTTCAGAAGTGCAGTTCAAATGCATCAGAATGTGAATGATGCATTTTCAGTTGAGTAAATGAAACAGAACACAATAGCAGATGAACTGGAGAAGTGAAATGTGATGGGTTGGTGTGAATGTATGAAAGAGCTAATAGGCCTCGCTAAAGCATTAGGTTAGTGTTAATCTATAGGCTGACCTGCTGTACCCTGATGCTTCTGAGGCTGTTTGTAGGCTGCATAGGAAGCTTAAGCACAGCTAGGCATCACAGGATAAGTTGCAACCAAACACCAATAAACGCTCAGCATTTTCTGGATAAGACCTTAGCGCTTTCTGCTGACCACACAGTAAACAACATAACCACAGTGCAATTCCACAGCTCCTAAACTCACACCCCCTTTTTTTTACACTCAGGAGCAGTCCTAAGCCAAGCTTGCAGAACACCATTTTTAGCCTGATTTTAACCCTAATTTCCTCTTCGGACAATTTTCCACAATCAGAAGCAAAATTCCAGGGCAGGAGCTCAGTCGCAAAGCAAACAACAGTGCAGATCTGGTAGTTTGAGAGGGGAAACGAGGCAAGGTTATTTATATAACACTTTTAATACACTGCTGTCATTCAAAGAGCTTTACAAATGAGAAAATACAGAGTCAGACAATACAGTGTTGTTAAAAAAAAACAGTAAGCGAATAGAAAAACATAATTGAAAACAACATTAAAAACATAAAACATTATAAAGACAAGAAAATCATTAAATATCAAATTAGAAATTAAATTAGGATAGTTAGTTAAATAAAGTGCCGTTGCAGAAGAAAAGGGGCTAGAAACACTAAGTGTTTTCAACTGTGCTAAAAGCTGCTCAGACAGTAACCTTTTGAACCTGGATTTAAGTGTCCAGTGTCGGAACAAGTCAATCTTTAGAGGAAAAAGGTAAAGGGACGTGTATGTGCTTCAATGGTGGAGCTACTCGTTGAATACTGGCAAATGCAGAAGTGCATTTATAATAATCAAAACTCATTTTAGAATTTAAAATTTCAATGATCTATTATTACAATTTCACATCAGCATTCCAGTTTGTAGTACAATGTTCCTCCAGCTCTCGCTGCTGAACAGAACGATGATATCTGCATTTCCTAGCAGACGACTTGCCCAGCTTATTGTCTGTACATAAAAGCATAGACAGGTCTGGTCCAGTTTAGTGCAAACAAAGCTATGTGATAATGACGTAATATGAGTTTTCTGAGTGCTGATAGACAGACAGTGTCACTGGATCCTCTGAGTTACGGAGTTGTTTAATTGTCAAAATTCAAATAATCCTACATACATGTCAAAATCAAGGTACCACACCTGTGCACTGAAATAGCACCACATGAAAGTAATTCTGCTATTAAACTTCAACATTATTCTATAACAACACCGGCTACTCACACTGTAGGCAGTGCTACTGCAAAGGCAACTTAACTACCATTTTAGGCTGTCCAATCCTGACTGACTGAGTGTTGAGAAGGAAGTGGGAGATCTCTCACATACTCTTGATCTTGCAGCTTGTCAAGCCATTTCAGCCACTGCACATTTTTTATTTAGAGAGGAAAGAAACTACACGGACTTGTTATTTGAGCATTTTATTTTGTCCACCATTATTTAGTGCAAATTTATATATAAGACTAATCCAAAGCACACGGTCTACATAGTTTACCAGCTCAAGGAGTTAAAAAGAAGCCATATAAGCCTTCTAAATAGCTCAGGTAACTGGGGTCTATTTTAAGCTTGATTTACAGCAATGCCTCTTCCATCCATGGTCAGCGGTCCATCTGGACAGAACTGTGCATTCTTTCCAGCACTTAAGCTATTCTATGATGTTGGAACTGACTGGATTCGCATGTTTCGGAAAAAAACAGTGGGTGTTGGCCAACACCCTCTCTGCTTGTTAGCTATCCCAGCTAAGTCAGGTTGGTAAGGACTGGGGATGAAAAATTGTATCTAGGGAAGCTCAATGACATCAACATCATAATAGTAGTGGCAGATATTTACTTAAAAGAAAATATACTGGCATCAGACAGATGATTAGATTTGACCAACACACCAGATCGATACATGACGTATTTACTGCACTCCACAGGGCAGACTGTTTAGGTGATGCTAGGCTGCTGTGCTACCTGCATCTTAAATCAATTTACTGCATTTGAAACCTTTTAGAGATCAATGTTAGATCTCTCTGTAATTCTAATGAAGGCGGATTTAGGCTACGTTCACATTACAAGCCTCATTGCTCAAATCTGATTTTTTGCTCAGATCTGATCTCTCTGACTTGATGGTTCACACTCTCTTATTTAAGTGATTCAAATCTGTCACTAATGTGAACGAGCCGGTGCCCTGAAATGACCCTCATGTGCACATCCCACTCAGTAACGTCACGTGAATGAATCACGTGCTTCATCAGCACAAACTAACGAGCAGAACGAGCTTCACTGTGAAGATAATTAACTCTGATCAGCTCTCAGCTTCATTATTAGAGCGAGATGAAGGAGAAAAAGGTGAGATGAGCTGCTTTTCCACCGTTTACAGGCTTTAACTTCTGTTCGGCGCTGCTGCCATGGTAACGCTGAATGATGGCGCATGCGCAGTGAAAAAAGCACATGAATTCCGATCTGAGCATCACATTAAGGTCGCTTGGACATGAATCGGATACGCATCCGATCTAGGACCACAGGTCGGATTTGAAAGAATCAGATTTGCGTGTCCACACAGCCCTGAAAACATCAGATCTGAGTCACATCAGGGCAGATTTATGCCACTTAAACCTGGTAACGTGAACGTAGCCTTAGTCACATCTTCTACATTTTATAAATGTAGAAGTTGTAACATTGATCTCTAAATAGCTTCAAATGTATCGGCATTGGCATTTAATAGTAACGCTAAAATATTTCTGCTATTAACGTTTTCATTTTTATGCTTCAAACAAACTGGGTGCCCAAGTTGCACCCATGAAATATTAATGTGTGAAGAGAGAAATGTGTACAAAATTACGAACACGTTTCAAAAAAGGAAACACTGCCTCAGGAGAAGGAGGAACAGTGAACAGTTCCTACTAGGGGTGGGCGGATACTGAAATAGGATGGAAAAAAAGCATTGCCCACACACTGTAAACGGCCTACAAAATGACTACAGAATTCAATTACAATCTCCCTGACCCAGTCTGAACCTGAAATGTGGCTTATTGACTTCATGAAGGTGACATTCATGATGGACTTATAAGCAAAGAGATTATTAGAGACTAACAACCATTTTTAATAATAACAAAACTTACAGCTTTGGGAAAACAAATAACCATCTAGAACTATCTATAACTATTCTGAAAAGGGGTGGGTTTTTATTTTTGCACATTCTGCATCAGCGAGTGCTTCAGTGAATCTTCTTCAAGAAACGGACCAACGTTCAACTAGAAAACAGCCGAAATCTGCAGGAGTAGCTCAGGTTGCACTGAAGCTGCTCTGAAGACAAAGGGCAACGTTACTGATATTCCATCAATCTGTCCACCAAAGCATTTCAGTCTAAGGACAGAATAAACACATTAAAACTGACTGAAATACCCTGCCTACTCAGAAGGAACTAACAGAAGCTCGTCTGCTCCAATGAAGGAATGAAGAAGAGGAGTAAAAAATATCTGAGGCAGGCAGTGAGTCAGTGTTTCAGACTCCCACTACTACTGAAGAGAGGAAGAACAACACACAGGGGGCTTTGTTTCACGCAACTGCGGAGGGGTTCGTAATAGGCTGTCACTGCCACTAAGTGTTAAAGCAGTGAGTTAGCAGAGCTTGCTGAGGCAACACCACAACAAGCATGTTAAAGGCTGGAAAAAAAGAATGCAATAGCTGGGCTTAGACTACAGACATAAAACCACATGACTGAGAACCCCCACAGGACATGAAGTAACTCTCAGTCCATTGCACATATACAAGCCCCATGCCTGAGTAACACTGCTTGGCACAGAGGTTTCAGTGACCAGTTAAAGTGACAGTCTGGCAGAAAATAAACTTTTTTAATCTCTCCACTTTTTTAATCTCTCCATAAGAGTCAGTGGTGTTACCGATCGTCACTGGTGTTACACATAAGAAAGGTGACACCAGAGACATTTTTAATGAGAAATGCATTTTACAAAATGGCTGCTACAGAGCATCAAACCACGTTATCAATCATGGAACATCCACTAAAATATGTAATTTAATCCATTTGTTTTCCACAATTATAGAATAAAGTCAGTCACACCAGTGACATCAGCTAAAAGCTTCATATGAAATCATGAACTAAATGAGAAAATCTCTGATAACTGAAAGACACAGTGGACTCACCATGAGCTTTTCTTCATAGATCCTCAGAAAATAGGTAAAAGGAAGTCCAGTGATGTCATCAGTGTGATTTTTATTTCAAATAAAGTTTTTTTGTTACGCAGTAACACCAGTGACACGACTACTGGGGACCACAACTTTTATTATGTATAATATTTACATGCCATTTGTTTTCTTTATGTCATTTAATTCATATATTTCATAGCCATGTATAGATTATTGCAGTCGAAGTTGCAGAAAAACATGTTTTTTACCTCAAAATATGGCACTGACCCTTTACACCTGACTGTGAAGACAAGCTCCTCTGTGGTGTTTGGAATTCTATATAATTGATTTAAAAACTGATATTGCTAAATTGATGGATCAAGAAGGTGTAACTGTTAAAACAGCTTATTGTTTTATTTTAAAATATAAATACATTGCAACCCTAACATGTTTTTTTGTAATATATCTGTAAACGCCAGGGACACAAAAATGGACGTTTCTGTAGAAAGACCCAGTTGCATATTTTTCCTCTTGCCCCAAATGTTGTCAATCAGCCCGTAGTTCTGTCACAAATTATATAAACGCCTGATCACAGTTATTTCAGCTGACCACAATTATTTTCCACAAGTGTTGTTTATGTCGCAAGATTTAATTGGGAGCATGTTTGGCAGTTGAGGCAATTCATGCAAACAGGAAAGCAGAAAGTGCATTTATTAAGAAAGTCATGGGCAAAAAAAAAAACAACAACAAAAGACAACAAAAGTTCTTACTTGGTGCTTTAACACCTTTAATGGGCAGCAGTAATTAAAGTTCGTTTATTTGAGCTTAAGCTGCTCCTGCTGTCAGTTGGGAGCTAACTTGTCAATCTGGTCATTTTAGGTTTGTACTTTAATACCATTTGATGACCTTTAAAAAAAGACAATTAAATTGTTCATCATAATTATTTATATGGCAAAATAATCGTCAGCTAAAATTTCATGATTATTACAGGCCTAGACACATTTGGGATCTGAAGTTTACTACAAGGCTGTTGCTAACAAGTAAGAGGAGTTAAGCATGCCTAAGTCATCACACTGTAAACTATAAATTCTATAATCACTGGAATTTTTAAAGGGCCAGTTTAACAAAAAGCTGAATTTTCTACACTGTTTTCTAATAAAAGATTATTATTTATTAATATTGTAATATGTAAACATTTTGTAAGTTTTAAAACATACCATTCACTTCCCAGTCCATAAAGTCCTTATATGGAAACTGCAAAACCAGCGTGTTTTAAATTCACTGTTTTCGTGTGTCACAAAAAACAATTCCCACTAATTCTGCCTACAGCAGTTTTGCTCTGTCTGTTCACACTCAAGCTGTAAGGAGTGTTTTAGCACAGACTGCTTTTTGAATGAAGTAATACTATATATCAGTCTTAAAGGCACAGAAACAAAAACAGCCTGTTTAATTCTAAGGGATAAAGCGAAGGTGGAAAATGGGCATGTAAAAAAAGTATTTTTGACCGTTTTTGATGCATAAAACCACACAAATGTTATAAGTGAACCTCAAGGAGAAAAAAATAATACACAAGAAAAAACAGTATATGGCTCTTTAAGTTTCCATTATTTGTTAGTTACATCAGCCACCAACGCAAAACTAAAGAAGAACACTTCAAAAACCAAACATGCCTTGGCTGACTGCCGGGGCTAAGGGGGAAAATTGTGCAAATTTGATTATTTTTGCTGAATTCCCACAGTCAAACCTGGTTAAGCAGACATTTCACTATACTGCATGCAGGCTGGTCACAGCCACAGGAGACCCAGTATTACATGGTGGTGAGAGGAAGGTGAGCAAACAAGCATCAAATATGCCAAACCATCCACAGACTCACAGCTCACATCCAGTAATCTTCTCATTCCACTGGCCCAGCCTCTCTACCGTTCTCACATAGCTACAAACACACACGGGGTTATGCACTGTCTGAAAGACCGGGAGAACACTGTACATCTTAAAGCAGAGCGCTGAGAGCAAATACTGGAACTGTCTGCAGATCCACTGGGACAGCTAGTGCTGCTTTTGAGAGCACCCTTCCAAACACATACAGTACTGCGCAAAAGTCACCTTTAGGTCATCTAAGAAAATGATATGTGCAGCCATTTATCTGGGAATAAAGTGTTATTTGTTGGGGAAAAAACACAAACAATTTATTTACAGTTACCTTCCCATACCTGGCTTAGCTCATCAATCCTTCATTAAATTAAATCAGGGGCTGTTAATGGAATTTAATAACCTGTGTTCTTTTTACTAAACTCTCCTAAACAAGATATTAATAATTTTTTTGAGCTTACTGCAATTATGTAAGCTGCCCAAAGTTATTTTACACAGTTGTTAGCTTTCACAATCACACTGTCACACTGCCACAGATTTTAGTTGGGTGTGCTTTCATTCGTTGGGATGAGACGAACTGCAAAATGCAGAAAACGCATTTGTTGAGATAAAGTCGTTGGTCTTACGAAGACAACAGTACTTCTAACTTCTAGCTTGGTGTTATAACATCTATAGAGGGCAGCAGTGAGCAATGTTTGTTTATTTGAGCTTGAGCCATTTCTGTCGGCAGTTAGAAGCTACTAACTATTGACAGCGAGGAAAAAACATATTTATATGGTAATTAATTGTCAGCTAAAGTTTCACCATTGGACAGGCCTACTGATGCCAATACGTCAACATTTATAAAATACACGTTCAGTCTAGATCCACCTGGACTAGAAGTACAAAGACATGTAGCTCTTTGTAGAATGTAACAAGCGCTGTGAAATGAATAAACTGCAAACATTTCAGCCCAGCATCACCTAAACATTCAGCTCTTCTATAAGACAATAAATACATCAACAAATATCAGTTTGAAATATCGGCCAATATTTCCTATTTTAAATATAAAATCATATCTATTTTTAAACATCATACCAGTAAGATTCCAATATCGTTTGTCTTTATTTGTATTTATTCTAATGTTATATTGTGTTTTACTGGTAAAAAAAACACTTTCTGCAGAGATAAATAGTTTTAAACATGGCTGGCTAGGACTTTTGCACAGTTCTGCATTTTGCGAGTCCCTGTAGTCTCTGGTCAAATAAAGTCTGCCCCTGTGGATGTTTGTCTTTCCCATACCTTCCTCCCTCTGAATAATGACTCTTCGCTGCGGTGCTTTGTCTGACACTGTGGAATCTTTCTCGTTGCGCTTGCAGAACACAGTATACATGACTTATACCTGATAGACGACTGATGAACATGTGAATTTCTATACACTGACTGTTAAATTCACTGTTCATTGGAGCACCATTATATTACAACAACTACATCAGAGGAAAACAACTGTTTCCTCGTTACACTCTTTTTTAAAGGGAAAAACAAATACAATGCAATGTGTCACTGAGAAAGATTCCATTTTGCAGGCAAAGGCCCAGAGCGGTATTGTTTCTAGATGTCTCTTTAAATTAGCTAATGAACTCAAGAATTCTGCTTTGAGGAATGGATGCTAACCTTGCTTCCAGTCCTAGCCTTGTTGGTTTTGTGTGAAAAAGTGATAGTCAGGAAGCGGCAAGGTAGATCAGCCTAAAGTACAATAACGGCTGTGACTCATTCCTGACTCAGACCAAAACACACCCACAGAACTCTCTTATATAGTGCCGCTGCCTATTGAACTGCTAAAACAATGGAACTCAAAGCAATTTAACTGTTAGGACATATGCCAGTCTCTCTAGTGCTTTAATGCTTTAATATGTAAATCCTGAATGTCTGAGAGAGCTGATTTCCAGCATCATGAAGCAAGAGGTAGACTGTGAGTTAGCCAGAGGAGAGTGCGGTGCTGCGAGCTTCAGGGGGATTAGCTTGTAAGAGCTGAAAGAACAGCTGCTGTAAGGCCCTCATAAAATGGCATCAGTACAAAGCAGGGGTGTAAATATCTGACGTGACAATGATTTGACTCAATAACAACTGTTTAGGTAAAGATTCCACCTGCATTAAATGTCAAATTTAATCAGAATTTGATTTGTAACCATTGTGACAGGAGTGCAATATACAAATTAATAACAATACATCTAACATTTCTTGCTTAAAAAGAGCCAGAGAATTTTATTTTTGCCAAAAAAATCACATACTTATATACATATTACTATAATCGATTACAATGGATTCTAACATCTGTGCGGTTAAATCAGCATCTTCAGATCGACACATTTTTACACCCCTAGTACTGAGAGCTCAATCAGCGAGACTCCAAATTCGTCTTTTAACTGGTTAGGTAAAAGTGTAAGCCAGAAGATGATCTGCGAAGAAGTATACTCACGCATTTGAGGTCTGGACGTCCTGCCAGCCTTTGGAGATGTTCTGTTTGAGTTCGCTCAAAGGGCTGAGGCCCAGTTTGCGCTTCAGTTCTGACGCATGGCGCTCTTTGGCCAACAGCACCTGTCGCAAGGTCTGGATCTCTTCCTCCACCTGAGGATGAAATCAAGCAAAAACAACAAACAGTGGCCACTCAGATGTGCTGCAGGTCAAATCATCTGTGACAATGACAACGTCAACCACAAAAAAACATTTATTCACGCTATCTAGGTGAGGGGTGCAAACTGTGTCCAGCACGTTTTGGTAGTTTCTATTCAAACATCCCCACTAAACCTGGCAATTAAGATTAGTTGAATTAGATTAGTTAGGTGTGTTAGAGCAGGGAAATCATCAAAGTGTGCTGGACACCGGCTCTCCACGACAAGAGCTGTGAAGACCTAATTTAAGTCTTCAAAGCCTGCAAGTTACCGTAGAGGGATGGGATTGTGTAGTCATTGCAGCTGTGGTCGCATTGTTTACCTTGGTCAGTTCAAGCCTCAGTTCCTCAGCCTCCTCCTCTGTGAGCCCCGGGGGGAGTGTTACAGGGGTGACACCAGATGCGCCCCTCTCCGCTGGCATCTCTGATAGAGAGTCAGAGCCCAGGCCTTTATTTGGAGAGTTCAGGTTGATGTCTGTGCATGTGAGAGAGAGAAAAAAGGAGAAAAGGAAAGCAAGATACAAAATGCTTATGGTCATTACTTTGCTTGGAACCCATATTCAACTATTGTTAACGAATCTGGTGTTCTGTTTTTAGTTCTGCAAGCTATTAAAACCTCGTACCTCCATTTTTGACATTTTTCAGTTTTTGACATAATTTGAAAACACCTGTTGCCCTTTACATTGAGTGTAAATTCCATGCTTAATGGACCAAGAGAAATGGCCCAGAAGTACCTGGGAAAAAGTCTGGTTCCATTGTCTTACATGTAAACTAAAGCAGTTTTTTCCTTCTCCTGCAAAAGTTACCATTTTGGAAATACTAAGTTTTGTACCAACAGCAGTGATATATTTTTATAATATATGCATCGCTGTAGGAACAAAACCTTCAATCTCATCATAAAATTTGTACTTCATGTAAAGACCAACTAGTATTTTCAAATCAAATGACAAAAATGTAGATACAGGGTTTTGCTATGACAGCTACAATGTTTTCCAAGACTATTCATATCCCTTGTCTTAACCTTAAAAGTGAAAGCAAAAAGAAATACCCACATATAAAGAATAAGTGAAGGCATTTGGTTTGTTTAAGCCATTCACTTTTGATTTCCCTCCTAAACTCACCCACAAATGTTATTTAGCTCTGCACACAATGGCTCTCTTCTGCTCTGACACAGCCATGTGTAAGTGGAGAATGTATTAGTACTACAGTCCTGAGTGTGCCCATTTGGAAACAGCGAGGGCTTTAATGACAGGTTGAAAGCTTTCTAAATGCCTCCGGCTCTTCCTTACATAGTCATGCTGAGCAACATCCTTTATCTGTATAAACACCTATGATGGTCTCTCATCAGGATGAAGCGCCTACCCCAAGCTTTAGGTTGCTTCATGGATGTTTGTCTCTACTTCTGGATGTTTTTTATTGGAAATTACAAATGCAAACACTTCATATCATGAGCAGATGTAAAACATGCTTAGTCTAAGCATGCTCAGTCATGACAGCTGAACATGTGCAAGACATACAATATGCAACAGCAATCTATAACATTGACTGGCTATAGGGTCAACAGAGAGCTGACCTTCGCAGATAGAAACTGCACAAATAACGACTGGCCAAAGGGAAGAGATGTCCTGCCACACCCTCAGCAAATGGGACAGATAAGCCATAGAAAGGTCCCTTTATAGATACTATTAATCAATTTGAAGTAATACATTTTCAGTAAAATAATCAAACTAAAGCAGGTTTTACACAGTATGACAATCAGTGCCTTTATGAGCCACAATCTAACTTTCAGCCTGAAGTCCACTATTTGCTTTCAACTAACCTTGATTCCTTAATAATTACATGCATGTATAATCACATAAAAATATTGGCTCAAAACGCACTTCGTCATATCCTTCATAACTTTCATATTTCATAAGCCACTTTCAAAAGGTGGGTGTCGTATGAGAGCTGTAACTGTCTTCTTTCCAGTCAAATAGATGGGTGATGTCATTTTAAACCCTTATAATAAAAGAAGCTGAACTTACAAGTTTTTTGTCTACTGAAAGTCGACCCACTTTTCCATAAATCTGGGCTATAAACTATAAACAGATGGCGTCTCTTCATTGATCTGCTCTGTAAAAAATTATTTTTATAAAATAACACAGAGCGTCTAAGATTTTTGGCTTTCAGCAGCAAATTGTAAGCATACAGCAATATGTGTGATCATAAAACACATGTTCTGTTAATTTGAGGGGAGTTTTTATAAAAATAAATAAATAAATAAAATAAAAATGTACATTTACTTCATGAAGTTACTGAATAATTTGCCTTATGATTTGGTCATATAGGTTAAATTCACATGGACAAACCAAAATACACCCTGAAGAGAACAAGAGGTCAACGTAACAGCATTTTATATGCAAATATAAATTAAACCCAAAGTGTAACGCACTAAACCAGGTTCTTACGCTGGTGGTGAACAGTTAAGATCAGTGAAGTTAAGTTATAATCAGCCATAATGTCTGTATTGTGAGAGCTCTGCGTGCCAGCAGAGCCCTGTTCTGTTCTGGCCAGTTATCTCTGGAGTAACCTGATAGCCCACCCTGCCCTGCTCTCTCCTTCAGCATCGGACACCGCGTCTGCACCCACAAAAACCAATTTAGGTCAAGCGTCCTCTCGATAGAGAGAGGAGGAGGAATAAGAAGCCCGGATCGCAGAGAAACACCAAACCCCACCGCAGCGCAGCGCCGCTGCTCGGCTCTGTTTACCTTGACTGGCGGAGTCCATGTCGTCGAACAAACGAGCGGATTTTCCTCCTAAAACGCGACTCTGGACTATTAAAGCTCGGTCGAGTATCGGGGAAAAATCAGTTTGGCCGGAGCGATACTACGCTTTTCTGAAAAGCATGGAAAACTGACGTCCGTAAAGGAAACCGAGGGAAAAGCGGCGAAGCCCCCCAAACAGCCAGCTCAGCTCAGCCCAGCTCGACGGACAACTGAGCCCGCCTATTTTCCGGCGCACGGGGATGACGTCGTCTGCGTGTTGTTTTCGCAGCTACAGAAACATTAAAGTTTTATTCAGAATAAACTTTTCTGTAAACGGTCACCTTAATAAGGCTCTGTTTTACAAATTACAGTTTTTGGTGTATTTTTAGATTATATGACCGTAATATTCAACATCCAAAATGACAATGTTTTTGCTTGAAGCAGGCCAGTCTGTCCCCCCAACTGTGAGATGGTCCTCACTGCGGAACCAAAAGTCCAGTGGGTGCGGCTGGATCTGATCCAACTCCTCCCTCGTCGTGTTTTAATTGGTCTGAACTAGCGTGGGTCTGATAAAATGCACAGTGAGTGTAGAAACAAGGTAGAATGAGCTAATAAAGTGGCTTATCAGGGTTTATAACATTTAATATAATTTTTTTAGGCATATTGAATCATTTTTATTAGACTTATGGAAATGTGTGGCAGTAATACCAAATCCTTTTAAATGTAAAAAAAAAAAAAGTCGTCACAAAGATTTTTTATTATGAAATTCCAGGATTTAGTTGATAAAACACAGTTATAGAAATGCGATGATTTTAGACCAATGAAAAGAAGACGTGGGCGGAGTTGGATCAGGTCCGGCTCCACCCCTTTGGACTTCTGGTTCGGCAGGAGTGATAGTTGTGGGGCTTTTCATTGGTCTAAAATCATCGCATTTTTATAGGTCTTTAAACTAGTATGTGTCGCTTACGTTTTCCGCCTACGACTTATTTCATTGGTCTACCCTGTCGCGTTTTTACCTGTGGGAAACCCGCAGGTGTTGCTGGTGTTTTTGTGTTTTTCTCGATGTCGCTCCGTCCTGAACGCCACAACACAGCCGTTATAATCGCTCATGGTTCACGATGTTCACTCATTTGTCAAAACTCGAAAAGCTTTTTTCACATTCCGGTACAAAGTCCGTTCTGTAGGCCTACATCTCAGGTGTACTTATGATAGACGGGTTCTAGTTGAAAACGCTGAACGTTTTTAAACACTAGAATGCACATATTACCGGTCAAAATAACCCACATAACTGAGTTTTATCAACTAAATCCTGGAATTTCATAATAAAAAATCTTTATAACGACTTTTTTAAACATTTAAAAGGATTTGGTATTACTGCCACACATTTCCATAAGTCTAATAAAAATGACTCAATATGCCTAGAAAAATGATATTAAATCTTATACACCCTGATAAGCCACTTTATTAGCTCATTCTACCTTGTTTCTACACTCACTGTGCATTTTATCAGCTCCACTCTAGTTCAGACCAATTAAAACACGACTTGGGAAGAGCTGGATCAGATCCAGCCATACCCCCTGGACTTTTGGTTCCGCAGCGAGGACAATCTCGGTTTACGAGGAGTCTGGCCAGAGAACTTGTAGAGATGAGAATTCCCACCCTGCAATGTCCTCCGGGTTTCTCAGACGCTAGAGGGCGCTCCAGAGCGAGTCCAAAATGAATGGGTTGATATGGAGAATTTGAGCAAAATCATAGTTTATAAATGCTTAAACATTTTTAATGTAAAAGAATCCAATCAAAACCTGAACACAGAACAGCATAAAACATTTTAACACTACTGTTATATTTTAAGAGCTTTTAAACTCGAGTTATAGGAGTTTAAAACTGCGCCTCATGTATGTTCATGACGTCAGTGAGCGCGAACAGCCAATGAGCTGCTCCGCTCGCCAATCAATCATCACGCTCGAGCACTGATGCCCGCCTTCTGCTGCCCAAAACCCGTTTGCTGTAGAAAAAGGAAATATACAGGTAAGATTTCTGTGTTTTTTTAGTGAAATACATCCTTCTACTTTCTAAAATTAAAGAAACGTTCTGGGCGAGTGATTAGAAACTGTTTTAGCTTTTCGTTTTTAGCGGTTGAGCGCCATTTACTCCGATTCATTGAGGACTCCCTCGTGGGCGCCCTCTGCTGTTTAGCAGTCCTGTTTTTGATATAATGGGGGAAATAGGAAGTGGCCAGACTCCTCATAAACCGACTCTGATTAAAGTTTCTAGATCTACTTTTGAGATGTAATTATTTACCCTCTAGATCACCCATAAAGCTCTCTAATTTCCACTGGCAAACTCTGTTAGCCTGGAAGCTGTGCTACATGCACAACTTTTCTCCTCCTAAATCATTACTTTGGCATAATAAAGACATTGTTATCAAAAGAAAATCATTATTTCTGTCACATTGGCATGACAAGGGTATAATCATATAATAGATTTGTTTAATGATGATGGTAGCTTACTTTCTTATGAACAATTTATGAAAAAAGTATACTTTTCCCATCACTCTGTATGCAAAGCAATCAGTGGAAGCACCCCCATGGACCCTCACAGAGCAGGTACTATTTGGGTGGTGAATCATTCTCAGCACTGCAGTAACACTGACATGGTGGTGGTGTGATAGTGTGTGTTGCGCTGGTGTGAGTGGATCAGACACAGCAGTGCTGCTGGACTTTTTAAACACCTCAGTGTCACTGCTGGACTCAGAATAGTCCACCAACCAAAAATACCCAGCCAACAGCGTCCTGTGGGCAGCGTCCTGTGACCACTGATGAAGGACTAGAGGATGACCAACACAAACTGTGCAGCAGCAGATGAGCTATCGTCTCTGACTTTCCATCTACAAGGTGGACTGACAAGGTAGGAGTGTCTAATAGAGTGGACAGTGAGTGGACACAGTGTTTAAAAACTCCAGCAGCACTGTGTGTCTGATCCACGCGTACCAGCACAACACACACTAACACACCACCACCACATCAGTGTTACTGCAGTGCTGAGAATGATCCACCACCCAAATAGTACCTGCTCTGTGAGGGTCCATGGGGGGTCCTGACCACTGAAGAACAGGGTAAAAGGGGGCTAACAAAGTATGCAGAGAAACAGATGGACTACAGTCTGTAACTGTAGAACTACAAAGTGCACCTATATAGTAAGTGGAGCTGATAAAATGGACAATGAGCATAGAAACAAGGAGGTGGTCATAATGTTGTGCCTGATCGGTGTATGATGGGTTACGTTACATCCAAGTGTGTATCTGTAATTTAGGAATTAAACCAGCTGCATCCACCTCAAGTGGTGCGACCCCGGTTAGCTGATTGTACCTCAGTCTCGTACAGTGCATAGGGATTAGATGCAGATGAAGTTCTCATTTCCTATCCCACTTTAAATGATGTAGTAGATACATACAGACACCTGTACAGGTGCTAGCATGTTGCTGCACTTTTTGTATTAAATTTCATACGTGTAACGTGTGAAGGACAGCAGTTATATGATATGCAAAAAACCATAGTAGCACCAAGAAGACGTGAATGAAAAAGCAAGTCTCACTCTGGTGGTTAAAAACAGGAAAGAATACAGGAATCTGGAGAAATACCAGGGCACTCAGAGCCATGACCTCTAAACTATACTGGAGGAGGGGCTCCACCAGATTCCAGGAGCAACTACACTGATCTGAGTGCAAATCAGTGCAATCTTAGCAACAGCAAAAATGCTGCGCCCCCACAAACTCCTAGGTCTTCGGTAGAAGAATTACTACCCTCCGGAAAAAGGGTGGGATAGGAATTTCGTTCCTTGCTCCTTTACAGGAATCAACAGAACAGGTTGACTGTGTATGGATCAATGTAACAATTGCTTTTGGCTCTTTAATTATTGCCTTTCCCTACACAGGTCATCAAACACAAAGTAAACAAATGCCAGATGTTTGCAACACTTTTTATTTTTCAGGTTCAGCTGTAGGTTAACAAGTAAACAACATGCACACCTTTGAAAGAAACACACTGAGAAAGACCAAAGAAAGTGTATCAGTGTGACAAATTTGTCAGTTATTAGGGTTTTATTTAGATATTTCACTACAATGTCCATCACTGCCACTTTACTAATACACTACTATGCCAAAACAATGTCGAAAAGCATTAACAGCTGTGTGGAGAAATCTATTAAAAGTCTGTTTTCAAACTGCAAAAACAGCTAAATCATTTCAGAACTACCAATACAAGGTATGTGAAGTTTTGGCCTCAGGCTGAAGCTGTGGTTGAATTTTAATCCAAAAAACCCCCCAAAAACAAACAGAAATGCATAATTTAAGACTTCACCATTATTTACTAATAGCTGGTGCTGGCATTTGATCAAATTATAACAGGACTGTTGGCCGAGGCCTTTGGACATTGTTTTGTTCACCCTAAGGTAAAACCCATGGCCTGCTTTATAGGCCGCTATAGACCAAAATGGCTCCTGGGCCCCACAGCCTCTCACTGATTGGAGTGATCACTTCTTCTTGGCAAGAGGGTTAAGCCAGGAGAAGGAGAAGCTGAGACGAGTCGACTCACTCGTGACAGTAGGAGAGCCGGGCCCCACCGCTGGGCTCTCTGCAGCTGCAGTCTGTAAGAGGCCGTTAGAGCACATGTAGCACAGCTTTTGTCAAAGCAGCAAAATCGTTATACTGTAAGTCTACCTTAATTTCTTCAACATGCCTTCGTCAGCTTGTACATGCCGTTTCCCCTCAGAGGAGCCCTCAGGGCCATTTTAAAGGCCGTTCGATTACTGTATTAACTCAAGTGAAGTTTGTTAGTTGATCCACTGGAGGAGCGAGAGATCGAGTCAGCGTGGACTATAGCAGCAAAAATCATTGCGATCTGGCACAATTTCCCTTTTCAAATATGAAAAAGCTGTTAATTAGTCAGAGCAACGCAAAAATTTATTTTAAAATACAGTGTTTCAAATTGGTATTTATGTAGCAAAGTACACCATCTGTCTCATCACTGCTGCTGATGAAACTTTACTCACTACAGGAAACACTGAAGCTCAGCTCACTGGTGTCACTGGTTATTTTAAACTTTTACATTCTAACCACCTCCACTCTGCCTGCAACTGTTTTACCTGATTTTTACTATTGTTTTATTTTTTTATTATTTAAGTTATTTTATATTTTTTATCAATTATTTTTTCGTTCATTTATTATTATTCATATTCTTATTCTGGTTTTAATTATGATTATTTTATTATTATCTCAAGTCATTTTAATTTATTTTAGTCGTAATCTTTGATATGTTTTTACACAATATCAGTCCCTTTTCCCTGTATCAACTCAGCAACATTGTCAATGAGGGTCACCCTCAATGTTCTCAGAGGTTAAATAAAGGTTGATTAATTGATTGATTGATTGATTACTCTGCTAGCTTGTTAACCTAAGGGCTACACAGCTAGCAACAATGAAAAAGCAAAGCACCTGAATTTTCAGGCAGACAACAACAAACAAGCAATTGTTTACATATTTTATATATTTTGCTGAAATTTCTCCAAAAATGGTTAAAATTTTACGAGGAGGAGACGGTTCACTGGTTGATAAATTAATGGGGAAACTCGTAACGCTCAACAGTAAGTGAGTTTACATGCACTTAATAATCTGATAACTGCAGAAAATCAGATTTTGTCCAATCAATGGGTTTATAAGCACTTGTGTGATCAGATAATGTGGAAATTCCAGATCTACGTGAGTCAGACGGTAAACAGATTTCTGCTTTGCAACCAGCCAATAAACTCACAGAAGAAGACGTGACGTAAACGTAACGTAAAACTCAAACTTCATGCCGCGCCTTTTTTTCTAAACATCGCACCACTTTACCTGAAAATATTAAAATATTAACATACATCATCTAGAAGATGAAGAATATTTAAATCCCTCATTTCGTCAAGCATGTATTTGGTTTCAGTGTTGATCCAAAAGTGTTTTGCTGCCATCTTGCAGCAACGCTGCTCGCTTATTTCCAATACCGCAGTCTTTTTCGCACATGTGCAGACTGAGAAATCAGAAAGAAATCAGAGTAAGAGTTCACATGCACTGACAAATCTGATGACTGAGCTAAGGTCCAACTTCTTTATCTGATATCTTAAGCAGATTTCTAGACCTTAATCCAAACTTAGAACTTAGAGAATGATATTTACATAACCATTTGAATAATCAGATAACTTCAGAAATCTGATTATGATCGGATTATTGAGTGCATGTAAACGCTGCCAAAAACATAAAACAAATTGACAACGTAAGTTACTTTTCTGTGTTATTTGAGCCAAATTATTCTTGTCAGATTTTTTTTTCGGATATGTTTCTGAAATTTAATGTGGGTTTTAGTTTAAATGGTAAATGTCTCTTACCATTCAAAGAGACAGGAGACTGACTGGGTGAGTTGCCAAGAAGACTGTCGATTTACCTCGCTGTGGTTAGTGTGGCTGAGTTTAAGTGTGTTTTTACAGAAAAAATCCCTTCTTCATTATCCTATCCTCCCTTCATTCTGCGGGTGGACACTTGTATAAGGTGTTCCGTATTTCCAAGTGATGAGGCGAGATCAGCGAGGGCATGTTAGAACCAGTACTGAAGCAGAGGGCTGCTAAGCGCAAGGCTGACCTTTTCAGTAGTGTGGTGAGGTCATCGTGACCCACATAAACAGAAATATCAGAGCTTTGGCTGATTTGCAGAGCTGCATTAGAAGCAGCAAATCTGCTCTACGCTAAAGCTAAAAAATGTAGCCATCATGTTTTCTGACTACCCACCTGACTAACTGCCTGTCTGCCTGTCTCTGTCTCCCTACCACAGGGGGGCGTCAGAGTAGTTGTGAAAGAGCGTATCAGTGCTCTGCTCCATCTCTCTGCTGTCCTGGGCTCCCACTGAGCAGGGCTCACCCTGGAAAACGAGAGAGGGACACACTGAGCTGCTTTCTGTCTTTTTAAACTTCTTTCCCTCCTCCTGGTCTTTCTTTCTTTCTTTCGTTCTTTCTTTCTTTTGCTCTTTTACTCTTTCTTTCTTTCTTTCTTTCTTTCTTTTGCTCTTTCTTTCTTTCCTTCTTTCTTTCTTTCTTTCTTTCTTTCTTTTGCTTTCATACGCCCTTTCATTCTTTCTTTTGCTCCTCCTTTTTTCACTCTTTGTTTCACATTCTTTTGCTCTTTCTTTCTTTTTTCTTTCTTTCTTTTGCTTTTGTTCACTCTTTCTTTCACTCTTTTTTTGCTCTTTCTTTCTTTCACTATTTCTTTTTTTATTCCTTTCGCTTTCTTTTGCTCGCTCCTTCTTTCACTTTCACTCTTTCTTTCTTTCACTCTTTTTTTCGTTCTTACTCGTTCTTTCTTTCTTACTGTGTGAAGGCTGAGGAGTCATTCCATTAGATCTATGCCACTCAGATATGCTAGCTTGATGGTTTTTTCATGTCAAGAACTCACAGTTTTTTGTGCTCCATAGTTTTAATTATGTTTTGCTCTTACCCAATAATATTTCCCACCTCACTGTTTTTATATTTTGTGCAAAATAACCCTGAGAGTTATAGTACCATCACACTGAACTTGTGACAAGGAAAATGTGACAGAGTGGAATATTTCAGGCTAAACTGGCTGCTTTGCTGCCTGTTATCAAGATTTGACCTTTTATTATATACAGATAATTACATGACATTTTAAAAACTAGTTACTGCTTGAATGAACAACAAATTATCAATGTTGAATAAAAGCAACATTGACCAGCTTTTGAACTTGACTCCTCTGAAGACTCAAATGATGTTATTTACTCTTCATAATCTCTCCTAATGTGGCGGTACATTATTTTAATGGCTATTGGAAAACAAAACTAAAGTACAGAGATAAATTATTAAATGATCAATTTAAAAGAAAGATTTTATGTTAAATTTATATACGTGTTATTGTGTTAATATGGAAACAGATATACGTCTGATCATGGCAAAGTTTTGATGAACTTTAGTAATATTTGAGATGGAGCTTCAGTGACTGTTTCTAAGGACATTTCCGAATGCTTGCATTAAAAAAAACGTATTTTTAACTTGCAGCAATGTAGTTCATACACTGTGTTTATGATGAACATTCAATTCAGAAATTTAGGCTTAAAAACAGATTTCTGTCTATAAAAAAAATTGTGTGGAGTCAAATGGCTCACTTCATGGAATGACCTTCAGGCTGTTATGTATTTCATGAAATATCCACTGGACTCAACAGGATGATGGTACACATTAATGAGATATCTTGTGAACAATGTATTATCTAATCTCTGGCTGCATCCAAAACCACTTACTACCATACTAAATAGTATACTAAAATTGTACATGGTATACAGTTATGGACACAGACTCAGTCTGCATTACCAAAATATGTGCAAGTTACTACTTAAGCAATAGAACTTAAGTGATAACACACTCCCTCGAGTGTTCTATTGCTTTTATACAACAGTTAAATAAATAAAGTAAGAAATTAATAAACTGGGCTGTGAACACGGTATTTAATATGTTTTAATGTTCGCAGTTCCTTCCACCAAATTATAGTTCCTTAACAAGCAGCTTGTTGCTACATCAGAGTAACGAGCTCCGCCCACTCGCTGCACAGCCGGCAGTTCGTTCTCCAGCTCCTTACACTGAATTCCCAAACTGTCATCACCACTGAGCAGCTTTTCAGTCAGCAGCTGTGACAGAAGAACAGCTAAACAACCTGGAATCAGTCAGAAATGAACTGAATACCATTCAGCGAATGTGTAGTCTGATCTTCAGAGTCTGACCAAATTGGACTGAGCCATAAAAATGCTGCAATATCAAGTTTAGCTCAGTTTTGTCAATTTTTGCCAGATCAATATTAATGTTGTTTTGTTCCAGCCAGTCTGTAAAGCATCTTACAGCCCATTTAGTTTGGCAAATGGTATTGGGTTCATTTCTGGCTGATTCCAGGTTGTTTAGCTGTTCTTCTGTCACAGCTGCTGACTGAAAAGCTGCTCAGTGGTGATGACAGTTTGGGAATTTAGTGTTGTCTCATTTTCAGAGTCTGACCAAATCAGCTGTCGGTCAAATATGATCTTAAAAGTGTTCATTTTCTGTGGCAAAGTAAGAAGTAAAAACGTTCAAATGGCTTGAGCGTCTCCTACAGCTGTCAAACTCGTCGCTTAGCAACGGCGTCTCAGCGAACTGAACAGTGTTTGTGAAAAAGACGTGATGTTATGGTGAAATAACAGTGTGGTTAGAACACTTCTCAACAATCAGCTTGCGTGGCCGGAACTAACTGTTGTATAAATGTTGTTAGCATCCTCAGTCTGGGCACCACAAGGACTAACAGGTTTTTCTGTATGTGTTGAGCTTTTCAAAACTTGTCCAAATCATATCACATGCAAGATTTTTAGTCTTATTGTAAGTATATTTTGGTACTCAGTACTAATTTCCTTTACTTGTCCTGTGTTGAGACCATACAAAGAAGTGCAGCCAAGCACCATTTATAAAACTAAGTTAAAACATCCCTTAGCTACCTATGCCTGTTTGAAAATGTATGCTGCCAGGATCTATTATTACTTGCAGCATACATTTTCAAAATGTACTGCCTGGGTGTTAATATATTGCTGTCAGTGATGCAAGAAGTAAAGAGCATTCAAAATCACTCAGGTTGTGATTAACCCTTGTGTGATGTTGGGGTCTGTGGAAGCCATTTTTAATGTTTACCAAAAGAAAAAGTGATGCAATTTCTTATTATTTCAAACCCAGATTCCTTGGCCTTTGCTCATTTTCTGTGAAGAACATATAAAATAAGACATTTTTAATGACGCCACACTGTTCACCCCCCACATATCTATATTACACATGTGGTGTTGGGTGAACCCACAGAGAATAAAAGTGTGGAGGTGCTGTGTCCTTCACCCTGTTCTCTTCCTACATGTGTGTGTGTATGTGTGTGTGAGGGTGGACAACATGGACTGGCTGCTGACTGGCTACAGCTGCTAAAGGAGAATCCTACGCTGGCCATGTGTGATATTTTAAACATCTGGTATTTTTACTTATTGTTGTGGCTGTGTTGATTTAAAAAAAACAACAAAAACAATAATGCAGTGGGTCACCAGACCACTGAGTAACAAACACATCAACACCACACAAGGGTTAATGCAAAGAAAGAACACAAAATGCAGTGTGTTATTAGGCTAGTACCTGAAAGCTGAACTTCCCCGCAGTGCTATGTGCCTAGGAAGCACTGAATGTTCCCCCATACCCTCTGGAGGATGACCAGAAAGGTCAGGACGTAAAAGACAAGGGTGATGGCCTGAGGAGAGATGGAGGTGAAGATGGAGAGAAGCAGACATTGGTGTGGAAAAACAACAATTATGGGTCAAAAGGAAGTAAAGCAGTGTGGTAGAGCGTAGTGGGTAACAGATTGGGGTTCAACTTCACCATTTGGGCAGATGTACCACGCTTTACCAACGAGAGCCCTTGGGTGAGACTCCCAACACTACATTTGCCCGACTCTGTAAGACGGCTGAACTGTAAGTTACTCTGGATAAGAGCTTTAGCCAAATGCAATAAATGTAAGGACTGTAAATGGTGCAGGTGCTGATGGATGCTGGCGCTGAGTTCAATGGTGTTGCCAGAAGGATGTTCAGGGATCACAAGTAAGACTCATAAACGAGGCCCTTTCTTTCATTCTTTCTTTCTTTCTTTCGCTCTTCCGCTCTGTCTTTCACTTTCTTTTCACTCTTTCTTTTGCTGTCTTTCTTTAACGCTTTCTTTCTTTTGCTCTTTCTTTCACTCTCACTTTTTCGCTCTTTCATTTTTTCACTCTTTATTTTGTTAGTTTCTTTTGCTTTCTTTCTTTCTTTCTGTTGCTTTCTTTACTCTTTCTTTCATTCTTTCCTTCATTCACTCTTTCTTTCACTCTTTCTTTTGCTTTCTTTCATTCACTCTTTCTTTCTTTTGCTATTTCTTTTGTTCTTTCTTTTGCTATCTTTCTTTCACTCTTTCTTTTGCTATTTCTTTTGTTCTTTCTTTTGCTTTCTTTCACTCACTCTTTTTTTTGCTCTTTCTGTCTTTTGCTCTTCCTTTCACTCTTTCTTTCGCTCTTTCTTTCTTTCTTTCACTCTCTTTCTTTTGCTGTTTCTTTTGTTCTTTTGCTTTCTTTCACTCTCTCCTTCTTTCACTGTTTTTATCTTTCACTCTTTCACTCACTATTTCTTTTGCTTTTTCATTTGCTTTCTTTGCTCTTCCTTTCTTTCTTTCTTTCTTTCTTTCTTTCTTTCTTTCTTTCTTTCTTTCTTTCTTTCACTTTCTTCCATTCTTTCTTTCTTACTGTGAGAAGGTTGAGGAGTCATTCCATTAGATCTGTGCCACTCGGATATGCTAGTTTGATGTTTTTTCAACATCAAGAACTCACCGTTTTTTGTGCTCCATAGTTTTAATTATATTTTGCTCTTACCCAATAATATTTTCATACCTCACTAACTGTTTTTATATTTTGTGCAAAATAGCGGTTGTGGACTCTCTGTCTGCATTATTTTGGGCAAGACTCCCGACACTACATTCGCCCGGCTCTGTAAGACGGCTAAACTGTAAGTAGCTCTGAAGAAGAGCTTTAGCCAAATGCCATAAATGGTGCAGGTGTTGATGGATGCTGGTGCTGAGTTCAATGCTGTGGTGTTGCCACAAGGATGTTCAGAGACTCAAAAACGAGGCCCTTTCCTCAGAAAAGAACATCGAGAATGACTAAGCAATGACCATGCAGGAGTAACTCGATGAAGAAAGCAACAGGATCACAAGGTAAGCGCAATGATGGCTGAGATGGTGGCACAATGGCTGTGATCTGTTGAAACTGAACTGACCTGCAGAGACAATGAAGTCACCCTATCCTTGCTGGTAGAATCAGAAATGTCCTTAACCTCTGCCAAATGCCCATGGGGACTATCCACAGAGTCCCTCCCAAACTGAGCCCTTTCAGGGTTTTCATGTTTCTCAGTGAACACAGGCATGAGGCTGCCACTCATCCACATGGACAGAGGTGTTTGTGACTGCTGGAAAGGGCATTGAACTGGGGCTTCCTTTACTGGTTGGGGTGAACGGTCAGGAGCCTGCAGGGCATCTTGAGGCAGTGCTAGGTTTGAGCTAAGCATTTGGCTGTTGGGCCTGTACCAGCTTGGATAGAGTTTGGTTTCTTCATCTGCTTGAACAAGCAAGCTCTGGTTCCCCAAACCACCTGCATCTTGTTCCTTACACTCTAACTCTGGCTGGGCCTTTGTAAGGGGTGATGGGAGAGGAATATAGCTTGCAAATGTGTACAAGATAACAGGATTGTTTGAGGTAAAATAAGAATGGAATAAAATTGATATGAGAGAAGGCACAAAGAGTTACCTGTGTGGTGCTCAGCCCGTTTTTCTCACAAAGGATGTCTTTTTTTGTTTCTGTTTGTACTTGGGTTTCCTCTCTTATCTCAGACTCAACTGCCTTTATCTCCAAGCTTTCTGGCTTCAGATCCTGTTCTGGCACAGGACTCTGTACCGGACTGTGCTCTGGCTCAGGCTCTACTTCATACTCTGGCTCTGGCTCTAGCTCAGGGTCTGATTCTGCTTCTGGTTCCTCTGGAATCTCTTCAATCTCTTCTTCAGCTGCAGAGTGATCAGTAGTGACATTATTATTTTCAGTGGAATTGCTTCCCTTGAAACACATGCATATTTTTGACTATGCGTATCTCACGTTGGAGGAAATCCAGCTGGTAGAGTGCCCTCTCCTCGGCATTGAAATCAACCTTATAGTGATCCATGTTTTCATATCCAGGCACTAAGGTCTCCGTTGGGGCACAGTTGGTTGCCTCACTGACCCTTTAGAGAGAAGGAATCGGTTTGCACTGGTGTAATAGTCGGAAATATGGCAAGACGGTTAAACGCTCACATGCATGCAGACACTTACTTTTCAATTAGGCTTTTTGAGGCCTACAAGAGAGTAGAAAACATACATTCAAAAACCATCATAATAAGAAATCGGCAGCTTTCTTTTACAGTTCCCTCATTTGTAGGTATTAACCAGGTAAGTGTGAGGTTACTCTGAAATACTAGGTAAGTACAGGGTGATTCAACAAGATTCATCCGAATTCTAAGCACCATATTTTTACAACCGTGAAGCACCTAGGAACCAATCACATACCAATTGAAAGAGGGGGTCATAGAGTTTCTGACTGTCACTGGAAGATGGCTCCCTTCAGTCTGAGAGGAGATGTGACCCCTGAGCAGAAAATGTTCTGCGTTCTTCACTTCAATAAGAGTGAATCCGTCAACTAATAACTGAGCAACGTGATTTTCGTCAGCAATGAACCTCCAACAGCTCAGAGCGTTCATCGTTGGTTCAATGACAAGGGATGATCTCCAAAATCGCACTGAAAGAGCCGTGAGTGCAGCGACACCCGACATGCTCAATCCAGTATGGGATGAATTTGACTATGGTGTTGATGTTGTCTGTACAGCTGGAGGAGGTTCATATTAAGCACTTGTAAAATTCCATAATAAACGTTATGCTCAATTAAACCATTTACAGTTTACTGCATTGTTCTGTAATGATTTACTAGTGAAATGAATCATTTTGAAATCAGATGAATCTTTTTGAATCACACTGTATGTTGGGTAATATGATGGGTTCCAAGTTTAGCTAAATTAAACTGAAATGCCTAGCAGATACTAGATATTAACTGGGTAAGTGTGAAGTACGAACTCCAAAGTGCTGTGAAATTTTGAATAAAACAGTAGTAAACAGTCAGTCAGTGTGAATTACACTAATATGCCTAAAATACCTAAAAACAGGTTCTTGATATTAAACTGATAATGACAATCAAGCAGCTTCAGATGATTCAAAATGCAGCTGCCAGAGTCTCACTAGGAGTAAAAGAAGGGTAAACATCAGCCTCATTCTTAAATCCTTACACTGGATACCCGTCTGTTACAGAATAGACTTTAAGACACTATTACTGGTCTATAAATCGCTCAGTGGTGCAGGACCAGCATGTTTATTTCAGCGATATGAGCCGAACTCTCAGATCATTAGGAACTAGTCAGTCCTGCCGAAGGTGAAGACTAAACATGGAGAAGCAGCGTTTAGCTACTATGCTGCTCTTAAATGGAACCAGTTGACGGAGAGTATTAAAAAAGGCCCGACACTGGACACTTTTAAACCCAGGCTCAAGATATTCCTAAATAAACTTGTACAAAAGTCACATGTTTAAGCAGGAAAGCGTCTGTCTACCAGTACCAGGTGGTTATATGGGGTAAAAAGACACCTAAGGACATATTGGGCCTGACCAGGTATGTGTCTGTTTATTACCTATAAAAGATGCCTGAATCTGGGCTGTAAAAGAATCAGTCATTCTTCCTATGATTTTTTTGGGTCTTTACTATTTACTTTGCGATTTTTACTCTTTACTTTCTTGGATAAGCATGTGAGGGAAATTTAGTGTGAGTATGTTTGTACTTATACCTTGCTGCTCCAAATAATTACCAATTTATGAGGGATTTTACTCTGTCCTTCTTTGGCTGACTATCTAGAACCTGATGTTTTTTCAGTGTTTCATTTTACCCAAAGTAGTTAGAAAGCACTTTGGACCACAAAATTAATTCCTAGAACCTTTTTGGCATTTCAGTGTCATTTTTTTAAAGGGCATATACCCTATGTTATGTTGCATTTTACTTTTTCGCTGACTTCTGTTTTTATGTGGCAGAAAATATCATAATTTATTTTGCTCAACTCTAACCTTTCCAACCTCTCTTCATCCCTTGTAATTAAACAGATTGTTTCAAGACTGATATATCTAAATGACCTCTGATCTGATTGACCACTCTGTATTGTGCCTTATTCAAAAAGCCGAAACACTCTATATAACTTCAATGTGGCAGGGCGGGGCTAAACTGCTGTAAGCTGGGTTGGTGAGTAATGTTGGTTTTTGTGACATCACAAAAACAGTACATTTTGAAATGGCTTGTTTTAGCAGTTTCATTTGCACATATGGACGGTCCAAAGAGTGAATGATACATTAAAGTGTTTTGGGACTTGCCATCACGATACCCCAAATAATTACCTAGTACCCTAGAGCTTGTACCTAACACTTACCTAGTTAATATTTAGAACTTAGAAAATGTCACAAAACCATCCACAGAACCTTTAGGAACCTTGATATTACTGTACCTGCAGAAATGCAGCCATCTCGGACTCTTCCATGGCATTCAAGGCTGTCTGCACCAACTTTGAGTTGGTGTCAACATGTTCGCTGTAGGTTTGGATCAGGCTTCGGGCCCAGCCAGTCTTTTCATCCTGCTCATACGTGATTTGCTGTACCATGATCTTACGCCTCTCTTCCAAGATGGCACACATTCGATCAAACTTCTCACACAGTGTCTGCTTCTGGTTTCTGCCGCTCTCCTGTCACGGATTGCAAATATTCTTACATGTATTCTTGCATCTTGAATTTAAAGAGTAACTCCACCCTAAGACCCTTTTTTTCATTAACAGCTGAAATGCACTGCTCTGTAATAATAAAATATACCAGACTTGCTTGAAATGTGAACACATCTTTCCAAATTGTTAAAACATCATTTTTATCGTGGTCAGTTCTGCCTCTGCAGCTCCCCTCAGGTTCACCTCTGCTATAAGAGTACATGTTTAAGAGTTCCTGAGCCATTTCAGCAGACAATCTGTTGTCACTATGAGTACAAAAACCTTGTGACTGGTTCACGCAGGGGTTTGGCTTTATTCAGTACGTGATGAGGGTTGTGACATCACTCTGACTCCTTCCCCAATTTCTTTCACAAACACAATGTCAATGTCCACATCAACGTTGCCTGCAAACGGATAGCTGGTGTCAGTTTCAAAATAATCATTCAGCCTCATTTTACGTTTTTCCATGCTTTTGATTCGTTCCAGCTCATCAAACAATCTTTCAATGCATTCCATGCATTCTTGATATAACTCTCTATAGCAGAGTTGAACCTGAGCCCCCTGATGATGCCCTACTCGTGCCACCCTCATAAATATCGAAGCATAGGAGTCTACAGCGAGGAGATAACCACAGTCATGTGCTGAGCTAAATATCCCCCAGATAGCGAGCATATATAAGGTCGGCACTTAACTGTACTCCACTGCTGGTCCACCCTCGGACCATGCAGATTACTGTCCTGCATACAAGCTCTAACTAGTTTTTAACCTCCTCAAACAGATATTAAATGCACACCGTCTTCTATTTTAGAGAATAAACTTAGACAAATATTACAAACAACTGAGAGAGAAAAAATAATGACTAGGCCTGATATAAAATGATTTGTTGCTGCTGACACTGTGCTGGATTAAAATTACTTACTAAACTACTAATTTACAAAGTATAACTAAAGAAAAGAAGGAAGGAAAAAGTAAATTAGGCTGTGAGTGGAAAATGAGTGATGATAAGTGGAATTTTGTCTAATACTCCGCTTAACCACTGGTAGACCGCCCAGAAAACGCTGAGCGAAACGCCGTTGGACCACCAGTTTTGCAGTGGGCTGACAGTCGTTCACTATACTCTTGCTATCAGGGCCCCAGCACCACCTCACAAGGCTGTGATATGCCAGTTGTCTGTAACAACTGTAAATAACCCAGTCGATCAAAGCTTAGTTTGTAATAAAGATGTTGGATCGATTAAGTGAAGATAACTTGTGAGTCTCCATAAAGCTGCCGGTGTTGCATCCAATTCACATTTCCCTTCACAACTCAAACTCTCGGGCGCGACTTGCTGAACATTAATCAACAGCAAGCAACACTGGAACTACGGAAAGCGAAATGGTTCAGGAAAGGTTAACGTTAAATGGCCATTGTTACTGACTGTGTCAACCTTTCGTCTGTACAGCCTTTCTTAAACTTTTTTTCCCACTTTCCAAAGTTCCAGTGTTGCTTACCATTGATTTATGTTCAGTGAGTGCGGCGCTGAGGTTTCAGTTTATTAAGGGGAACGTGAATTTGGGGGGAAACTGAATCAGATTTAACACAGGTAAGTGCCATGAACAGCTTGCAGAACGTAAGGATTTGGAGCCACTGCAGCAAACCCTGACTGACCGGTGATGCAGTCTGCAACCTGGATGTCAAACTGAATGAAACTTAGACAGAGTTTAAAGAAATCCACCTTATTCATTCGGAATTCAGTGCATCTAAATAATCAGGACTCGGGTTATATTGAATATGGACCTGCTGAACGGATGATTAGAAGCGAGCTGTCACGGTTTTAGGGAATGTTCTACCGTTTGGCGCCTCTGCCGCTCGCTGCTAATCATTTTCTGGCACTATGTTAACTCTTCTGTGGCTTGAGTCAGTGGATCATACTGTTAAGGCTCAAGACGCACTGCCTGATCAGAAACACCTTCCCTTGTCGAAGTTCTGGTAGCTAACGTACACTAACTCTAAAAACCCCAGCCCCACCTCCAAATCCAAACATCACTGCAGTGCCCCTCCCAGCGTTTTTGAGCATTTTTCAAAGTTGAGCCAGGGGTGGAGTTAGCTGAAAATAGTGGGGTGTAGTTACTCTTTAAAGGATGGAATGATACAATGAACTAGTGAAGACATGAGAGTTTAGAAAGTTTCAGCATCTTAAGGTTTAAAGGCAGTGACTGCATTCCCATGAAGTCCGGTCAAACCTCAATATTCCTACAGATCTCCTCTAGGTCATTTATGCAAGCCTGGATGCGCTCATTGGTGGCAACCAGAGAACCAATCCCATCACTGAGTTCAGCCTATAAAACGAAAAACAGGGTAAAGTTAATTTATCACTGGAACATTTGAAGCATGTTGTTAGAATGATCTAATCTACTGGGTCTATTTTACCTTCTGCTGCTGATAAACCTCAGGTAGAGGAGCTACTTGACAGGTGCTGTGTGCCCCAAAAACTTTACAGAGCGAACAGGTGGGCACCTGACATGTGATGCAGTAAATGTTGAGCTTTTCTCCTTCATGCTCCTCACAGATTATTTGCCCCAGTGGTTTTGCTGGAGGCCTAGAGCTAGAGACACATGGAATTACTACAAAATAAAAGTCTTGAGGATAAAAAGCTTCAAAAAAACAAAGAGAAACAAAAGGTTAAGAGCCACTGGCATGTAAACAAGCAATGTTGGCCTAACTGCTTATTCATGGTATGAGGTCTCAATAGAGATCATTTCACCAAGAGATGGTCCACATTTCTGACCTTGCACACTCTTGCTTGTAGACATCAATGATATTTTCCACTAGTAAGTTCCGCTGGAGTCCATAAACACCATGACGGTCCAGAACAACTTCGTGTCGGCAGGATGGACAGCGAAAGCGACCTCCAATCCCAACCTGGAACAGAGATGGCTGCAATCTTTTACTTAGTATACTGTTCTTGCTCTTTTGTCATTAAAGTTGCTTACTGATTGCCTCGATTGGATGGATCCTTATGAGAATGTTTTGAGAATGCTTTTGATTAAATTAAGGCAGTTATTAGTTGTCCTAACTGCTTGGTAGGACTAATGACAGCCTGCACTTGAACATGCTTTTTACAGAGCCATTGGAGATGTGTGGCCTCTGACCCACGACAGGATAATCTTACCCTTGACCATCAGCTGCTGCTGAATATGTTTCTGTTGCTAAGGGAAGATACAAAAACATAACTTTGCAGAAACCCCCTTGTGTCCAGTCTGCCTTTCTGACCCATAACTGATGTGGAAAAAAATTTCCTGTAAACAAGTGCGTCTCACTAGTGTTGGATCAGGTGTCGGATTCCAGATGAAGACAGATAACTTGCAGTTGCTTCTTCTCTCCCTCTGAGGTGAAGAGAGGGTACACAAGAGAGACCATGATGTGGAGAGAGCGAGAGGGAGAGAGTGAAATGGACACAGTGGACTTCCTGAAATAGTCATGCTCTTTAAAAGGCTCCAGCAGCTGAGACATATGGGTCGAATGGAAATCAGAATCCCTGCTTAGATCAGAGGTGCTCAGTGCCAGTCCTGGAAGGCCATGACTCTGCAAAGTGGTTTTCTCTCCGGTCTGTCTATGTATTTGTTTGGATCTGTTTAGTACTCGTCCAAATTCCACATCAGTAGTCAAATAGTCAAGCTTACATAACTGAATAGTTATCCTGCAGTTTAAGGGGTATAAAGGAATCAGCATGACAGTAGCTAGCACCATAGTCTCCAGAATTCTAGATACTTCTATGGCAGTTTTGGGCTTAATTCATTTTCCCTCAAGATTAACAGAGGACTTCTGGAGCTCCAGGTTCCTACAATATCCTCACGTGCCAATCATACCACTTGAAATGTATAGTACCCCCAGCACCATCACCCCTCTCCTGACCCCCTTCTTAAATTACAAATAATGCTAAAAATGACAACATAATAATCAGAGAAACAGGGGAAGACTACATGTACAGTGCTACAGGGTGAAAAGGCGTGAATCTTTTCATGCCTTCTTAAAGGGAGATTTCTATAAAATTAAAAGATTAAGATGTATTCAAGGTCATGCAGAGTGGATTGTTGTGGAATGCTGCATTCTAGAGAAACATACCAAGTCAGAATTATTCACCATGGTGGTGAAAGAATCCAGACATCTAAAGAGTTTAATACTTCTGAAAGCTCAATAACAATGTTATTACATGAAGTTGTTATGAAAATGCTGCCTTATGTCTGAGACATGGTTTTGTAAGTAGTTTTGTGATAAGCTTTTGGCCTAAAACAGGCGTCGGCAACATGCGGCTAGGTACAAATAAAATAATCTTCCTTTGCTGTAAAATAAGGCCCTGCTGATCGTTTTAACACAGTTTTAGGAATAAATGGTCTTAAACATGGGAGTTAACGTATCCTATAACTGCTAACTCACCAACTTTTGACAGTGAAGGTTGTTACACAGACTGCTGGTCAGATAGCAACGCAGCAACGCAGACAATCTTGTCTGGCTAGTAGTTAACGATAAGGCAAAGAGAAAGATTTAAGACGAGCATTGATCATTTAGAGATGAATGGAATTGCATTTCCAAGCGCTTAATCCACATCGAGAAGCTGTCAAACACTAAAAAAGTTGCAAAGCTGAAGTCAGCTTCTGTTTAGAATTCTCTCATTCCACCTTAAATGGTACAGCAGTTACATTCTGGCGCCTCAGGCACCATTTAAGGTGGAACAGGAAAATCAGAACAAGAAGCTGGAGAATGAGAAGCTTCAGCTTCGTAAAAAAATTGAATGTTGAGAGACGTTTTACAAGAAACTGTTCTACTTTTGTAGTGGCTATAGCTGAGCTGAAGCTTAAAGCAGAGGAAAGTTAGTCTGCGTTTTCATTTTTGTTATATGGCTCTTCCTAACATTTGGGTTGCCAACCCCTGACCTAAAATATAGTTTTTTAAAAAACATTTGCAGAGAGGTACTGTAAGGCCAAATATCCCAGAAGCTAGCTACATAAGGCTGGGGTCATCTTAGGCCAACAGAGAAAAGTTAGATGGGAATTCTACTGATTTTCCAAAACATTAAAGTGTTTAACACCTCTGAGCTGCCTTACAGTAAACTGTTGCATGATTGTTGCAATTGATTATGAGTAAGATTCACTGGCCCTTTCTGGTAGTAAACCCCTGGTTCCTATCACCACCACTGTGAAGTGATGGAGTCGGTAAGTTGCTTTACAATGAACCATTTCACATCAAACAACTCCTAATTTACATCTCAGCAACTGAATTATGTAGAAAAAAAAATCAGTGAAATTCCCCTTTAACTTGTCAATCATATTGGCTATGATTCTTAACCTTACTGCTGACAGAGCACGGAAGGTGCTCTATAAATAAAATGTATTATTATTATTATTATTTACTAATAAAGGACCAGGAGTGAATGAATGTAGAGGTGACAGGGGTCATCTGAGCTGTGGACTAGATCAGTGCAGGGTCAACAACAAAACAAGGATATTAGGAAGAGATGAAAATAGCTCAGAGGACTTTCTGTCAGTCTTAGAGGCTTCACACATAGATCCATCACTCCATTGTCTGTCTCGTGAGAGATTAGTGCAAAGGGAGCAAATGTAGGGCATACACTATATTTACACTCAAGTTCAGACTGAGTTTAGGCATTTATAGTCCTCACACCTGTTTGGGATCCGCATATTTACTTTCCCATCGGCCAGTGCCAGCCTGGTGTGTTGATATGTGTGTCTATACACAGTGTGTGTTGTAACATATTTATGAAGCCAGACATGTAGCAATACAGGTATTGCTACTTGTATGGCTTCATAAATATGTTACAACATACACTGTGTACTCAAGCGTTCGTGGAATTTCTTCATGCAAGCTCTGTTGTTGGGCCCTTACAGTTACATTATGATGCATAATCCATACACACAATGTTGTTTTTCTCTTGTGTGCTGAACATACTCAGTTACACATATCAGCTCAGCCAGATTTAATGACACAGTTACACACAGTAGAAGACTTTGCTGAAGACATCGAGTATGCAAAAGTTTGAACACCCCAGTTAAATGACTTCAATGATGGTTCTGTTGATTTTCTAAGTGAAAATAAGTTAATACACCCTCTACAGGGAACAAACTTTTCTGCAAATTTTAGTGCAGAGTGTATATTTAAGGAATTTAACATATTAGAAAACAATAAAACATAAAAAATAAAAAAATGTGCCATAACTTTTGCACAGGCCACATTTTATTCTTTTATGTTAAATTCAGCAAACAGTCATTGTGCATTATAATGTGTTTTTGTAGATGATGTGTTCACTTATTTTCACTTAGAAAATCAACAAAACGTTATTTGGCCGGAGCATCCAAACTTTTGCATATGACTGTAAAAGCCAGGAGGACGAGAAACTTTCTCTGACATAACGGAAGTATTGCAGCTGGGTCCAAAGTCTGCTTGAAATAAAGTTGCCCATTTTATTTCTGATCTAAATGGTTTCTTAGTGCAACCAAATCTACTGATAAAAACTGTGATCTAACGCTGAACGTTAACATATCATTTGAGGCCCATATCATTCATTTCTCCAAGGAACTAGTTTCATAACTACTAATGACTGGCTGCCCTGCCTCTCTCTAAATTGGCTCTAACTAGTTCAAACTATGGCAGCACATGTGTTTACCAGGAAAATAATGTTTTAGCGTATCACTCCTTATTCAGTGATAACTGATGATTCAGTTATCAATGTAATATATCGCTGTTGTTGGAAGAAAACCTCTTATCTGCAAAATGGTAACTTTACAGGAGAAGGAAAAACCTTCTTTACTTTTTACGTAAGTCAGTGGAACCAGACTTTTTTTTGGGGCCATTTCTTTTGGTCCGTTCTTCGTGAACTTTACACCCAATGTAAAGGACAACAGACATTTTCAAATTATATCACAAACTGAAAAATGACAAAAAAATGTTTGAGGTTTTCTTCCGACAGCAGCGACATATATGTCTAAATTAAAAACATATTTGTTTAGGTTAGAAATTCTGCTGTTTTTTTCATTTTTAGTGTAAAGTTTTATTTTTAAAATATTTTATTATATTCCTGTGTAAAGCAAACTGATTTATTATTATTATTATTATTATTATTATTATTACGTAACCACATTCAGATGATCATAAGAGACTTATAATAATGGACTGCGCTGAATATCTGTTGGTGTGATCAGCTGATGTGTAGCGACTGCCTCAGTGAGCAGATCAAATACACTCACTCAGTTAGACAGTCTATTAACAACTCACAATATACTGTGTACAGAAGTTATATTCACGTATCCATCATCCAGAATCTCACTGCAGAAGAGGTCTAGTTTTAGGCTTTAAATAAACCCATTGCTATTGTTAAGCTCTAGTTGTCATTTTTGACTGTCAATAACTAGTTCCAGTTAGTTCCACTCGGTTCCATGTACCTCCTCTTCTAATTTACTTCTAGTCAAGTAGTTTGACAGTCTACTATTTACACAGTTCCACTTTAGCCATTTACATTCAGCTCCTAATTTAAACCTTTGGGTTTAATTTCATTCTGTTCTGTTGGTTTAGCTCCTGAAATTCTTCTCACTTTTGAAGCTTTATCAGGTTATTCTAGACTAAAAGGATCCCAAAAAGAGAAGAACAGGACATTACAACCTTTAGTTCCTATGCTCACAGATGTGGAATGTGCTAAGAGGTTCCACTGCAGTTCTGTAGGAAACTTAATACTTGAAGGCGTCAACTGATTTGTTTTTCACTCAGGTTGCTTTTGACTAACAACACTTTTCCTTGAGCGTGGGTTTGAGCTACACACTTAAAAAAGCTGGTTCTTCAAGGGTTCTTTAGTAAGGGCAGTGATTCTAATTAGAACCCTTAGCTCTAGATAGAACCATTTGCATGTTTAAATGGTTATTTGAATAATGAAATGGTTCAGACTGATGGAGAATGTGTTGTATTTGGTTCTATACAGAACCTTTTTGAAAATGGTTCTATAAAGCACCAAAAATGGGTTCTTATATTGTCGAAAGCTAGATGCCATAACAATAGCAAAATCCTATTTAGTGCTATATAGAACCATATACACATTTTCCATTGATTTGAAGAACCATTTCATCATGCAAAGAACTATTTAATGTGCAAATACCAAATAGAACCATTGCCTTCACTAAAGAACCATTGAAGAAACATCTTTTTAAAGTGTGTAGGTGGGTAGAGTATGAAAGAAGGTTCTTCAAGGGATCTTTAGTAAAGAAAATGGTTCTATACAGAACCCCAAATACTCAAAGAACCTTTGCGTGATTAAATGGTTCTTTGCATGGTGAAATGTTTCATCAGACTGATGGAGAATGTGCTGTAGATGGTTCTATATAAAACCTTTTTGAAAAGGATTGTATATAGCACCAAAAAGAGCTCTTCTATTGTCATAGGCTTGACATTGTAACAGTAGCAGAACCCTTTTTGGTGCTATATAGAACCCTTTTCAAACAGGTTCCTTATATAACCATCTACAGCACTCTGCAATTTGCAATCTGAAGAACACTTTCAGGTTTCCAAGAACCTTTTAATCATGCAAAGGGTTCTTTGAGTGTTAATGGTTCTACATAGAACCATTGTTTATACTAAAGAACCCTTGAAGAAGCATCTTTCTTAAGCGTGTATGGTTACAGTGGCAGTTAGACTGGCTAAACTCTAAAAACATACACACTTTAATTCACAGGTCCACTTATTAAACATGGGAACGTACCCTGTAGAGCTCGCTGGCGCATTTCCGGCAGAGATTGTGCAGGCAGGGCAGAATGACCACTGGTTTGGTGAACACCTCCAGGCAGATGGGGCAGATGAGCTGCTTCTCCAGAGTGTCCAGCGAAGCGTCCCTGTGGAAGGAGCTCAGGTCCAGTGGAAGAGACATGATGGTGTCTCACTGGTGTTCTAAATGAAGCACTAAGCTGTAAGAACACTCTGGGTGAGTGTGCTGTTAAATCTCTTCAGTGATCTGACTGTGATTAACCATCCTCAGCATTCATAACCTTGTGTTTTTGGCCTTCTCCCTCCACTCTCATTAGTTCCTCTGTTGCTTTGCCCCCTGTGCCGCTCCAGGGCAGTAGGGCTCTGGTAGTCAAACTGTAAATGTGTGTGTGTATTTGTGTGCGCAGAGGTGTCTGGTTACTGCCCCCTCCCGTCTCCAGCCCCCCAGCTTTGCCCATATGGAGCAGGCAGAATGCTGGCAAAAGTTTCTTTCTCCTATTACTCCAATCATTCATATCCACAGCCTGGACCAGACCTGGGAAGCCCCAGCGTGCAGAGAACAGGCATAGTGTACCTAAAACATGTGCAAAATGTTCTCGGTACAGCCTGGGTTAAACGTGTGGGCAGTGTACTGTACAGTAGGTTGTACAGCCTTGGTGCAGAAGGGTACTTTTTCCACAGGTTCCTCCTCTGTGACTGTACAACACTATCCGTACTTCAGCCATATGGAGAGTGTACTTGCAATCTTCCTGTGTTTTCTTCAGTTTTGTACAGCTTTTGCTGTACAAATGTCACTCCACTGTGTTCAATATACACCGATCAGGCACAACATTATGACCTTGTTTCTACACTCATTGTCCATTTTATCAGCTCCACTTACTATATAGGTGCACTTTGTAGTTTCACAATTACAGACTGTAGTCCATCTGTTTCTCTGCATACGTTGTTAGCCCTCTTTTACGCTGTTCTTCAGTGGTCAGAACCCCCATGGACCCTCACAGAGCAGGTACTATTTAGGTGGTGGGTCATTGACGTGGTGGTGTGTTAGTGTGTGTTGTGCTGGTACGCGTGGATCAGACACAGCAGTGCTGCTGGAGTTTTTAAACACTGTGTCCACTCACTGTCCACTCTATTAGACACTCCTACCTTGTCAGTCCACCTTGTAGATGTAAAGTCAGAGACGATAGCTGCTGCTGCACAGTTTGTGTTGGTCATCCTTGAGTGGTCACAGGACGCTGCCCACAGGACGCTGTTGGCTGGGTATTTCTGGTTGGTGGACTATTCTCAGTCCAGCAGTGACACTGAGGTGTTTATAGAAACTCCAGCAGCACTGCTGTGTCTGATCCACTCAGACCACCACTACCACATCAGTGTAACTGCAGTGCTGAGAATGATCCACCACCCAAATAGTACCTGCTCTGTGAGGGTCCATGGGGGTCCTGACCACTGAAGAACAGGGTAAAAACGGGCTAACAAAGTATGCAGAGAAACAGATGGACTACAGTCTGTAACTGTAGAACTACAAAGTGCACCTATATAGTAAGTGGAGCTGATAAAATGGACAATGAGCGTAGAAACAAAGAGGTGGTCAGACTGTTATGCCTGATCTGTGTATATGTACTAAGGTGAACAATCAGAATCAATTTTACTCCAAACAAGCAATCCTCAGCTGGCTGATTTATTATTTTGACATTGGCTGACCTCTGCTGGCAGCATGGTGGTGCAGTGGGTAGCGCTATGGCCTCACAGCAAGAAGGGCCTGGGTTTGAGTTCCCTGGCCAGGTCCAAAGACAAGCAGTCTAAAGACATGCAGTCAGGCCAATTGGACATGCTAAATTGCCCCTAGGTGTGAGTGTGAATATATATGTCTGCCCTGCGTTGGACTGGTGACCTGTCCAGGGTGTTTCCTGCCTTCTGCCCAATTACTGCTGGGATAGGCTCCAGCAACCCCTGTGACCCAGAAGGATAAGCGGCTTAGAAAGTGTGTGTGTGTGTGTGTGTGTGTGTGTGTGTGTGACCTGTGTGGCAGTTTCATGACATAAATGGCAAGAGGCCTGCATACAGTGTGAGCTGTGTGTATTAAAAAAAGGACAATTTAGTAAAGAAATCAGAATCAACCTTAAAAATTAATGATTGGTGCATCTCTAATATGCACAAATGAACCTCTCCATACAGTGAGGGGAAACAAGTATTCAGACACTTTTTTCCACATATCCACTTCAAATATGGGCCTCATTCACCAATATCTTCCTAAGTTTTCCTTAAATATGTTCGTGAGATCGATTCTAAGAAAAAGTCTACGTCAGATTCATGACGTATTCTGTAGCTGCAGAATTGTTTGCACCTTTGTGCTCCTGAGCGTGTGTAAGTTCTGTTCTCACCTGAGAACAAATCCCAAATGAGAAAACACTGGTGAACGTCAGAATCATCACGTGAAAACTGTGAAAGTGGGTTTTAAGAAGACGTTTCTTTTTAAGAATGGTTGGTTAAAATGATTTGCAATTGTAAGTATGAACAAAAAAAGTATGTATACATAAGCATAATAAAAAAGAGGTTAAAAAATCAAAGGGAAAAAATATTTAGACAGCTCAAATGGATAACATTGCAACTTTTGTTGCAAAGCTGCTGTTGGCTATTACAGTTTTGAGATGCTATGCTAAGAAATACTAATAACTTTTGTAATAATAACAGCATTACTGTTCAGTTTTGGCTCATTCCTCTTAGCAAACTGTCTTCAACTCCTCAAGGTTCCACGTGGCCCTCTGTTAGACTTGCAATTGCAAAATCCTTAAACTTTCAACGGTTTTCAAGTTACGACACTTCATGCAAACACATTCACTTTTTTTTTTTTTTTACAAACCTGTCCTGAGTTACTTTGGCTGTATGTTTGGGTTTGTTGTCTTGTTGAAACGTCCAGCTTCTCCCCACATTAAAGAACAAATTCTCCTCTAATATGTTCCGGTACATCACTCCATTCATGTTTCCTTGGATGACGTGTAACGGTGTGTGGTTCCTGTGATACGTGCAACCCTTCTTTTTCCAAACATGATCAGCTTGTTACGACCAAAGCGTTTGTATTTTTGTTTCATCTATTGTTCCAAAACAGTTGTGTTTTGTATAGATGCTCGTGTGCACATATCAGATGCACATCTCTGTTCTTTTTTAGCAGTGGAGTTGTGTGTGAGGTGTAGGAATGGACATGATTACGGTCAAGTTCATTGCTTATTGATCTGTGTAGCTGTTGTTCCTGCTGCTTTCAGGTCGTCCTGCAACTCTTCTCAAGTAACTGCTGGCTTCTGTTTTATCTTCTTTATCATCAGTCTGAGAGAAATCTTGGGATATTGGACGATTAGTTGTGGTTCCATGAACTTTCCCTTTGCATATTATCAAACTAATAATACTGACAGGGTAGTTTGAGGTCTTTGCTAGGGCTCTGTAGCTGTTTCAGTTCAAGTGTTGCTTAATAATGCTGTGCCTGAGAAGTTGAGGAAGCTTATTCACCATGATTGAAATCTTCACAACCAGCGGCAGCATCTTTTATGATGACACCATTTTCAACTTGCACAAGAACGTTTTTTGTTTTATTTATACAGCATTAAGATAAAGATCTTGATGTATTTTTATATTTAACCTTTACATTAAGTTAAGTCACTCATTATTAATCCCACACCAGGGAAATTCACATCTGCATTTAGCACATCTGGGCAGTGAAACACCCACATACACACTAGTGAATGCACACACACTAGGGGGCAGTGAGCACACTTGCCCAAAGTGGTGGGCAGCCCTATCCACGGTCCCCGGGGAGCAGTTGGGGGTTAGGTGCCGTGCTCAAGGACACTTCAGTCATGTCCCTATATTTATTTGAAAATACTACAAAGACAACATATCAAATGCTAAAACTGAGAAATTTTATTGTTTTTGGAAAAATATATGCATGTTTTGAATTTGATGGCAGCAACAAGTTCCAAAAAAGCTGGGACAGGTGCATGTTTACCGCTGTGTTTCATCACCTCTTCTTTTAACAGCACTCTGTAAGTGTTTGGGAACTGAGGAGGCACTGCTGTAGTTTTGAAAGTGAAAGGTTTCCCAATCTTACTTGATACAGGATTTCAGCTGCTTAGCAGTTCAGGGTCTCCATTGTCACATTTCTCGTTTCATAAAGTGCTGAAAGCCATGTTGTTGTAATACATGCAGAATGTGGTTTGGTGTCTTGCTGATATAATCAAGGCCTTCCCTGAAGAACACGTCGTCTGGATGGCAGCATATGTTGCCAAAACCTGTAAATATCGTTCAGCATTAATGGTGCCTTCACAGATGTGCACTTCACCCATGCCATGTGCACTGATGCGCCCCCAAACCATCACGGATGCTGGCTTTTGAACTGTGCGCCGATTTGCGTTTGCGGCTTTTGTTGCCCCGTCCCAACTTTTTTGGAACATGCTGCTGCCGTCAAATTCAAAATGGGGATATACTTTTCAAAGAACAATACAATTTCTCAGTTTTAGCATTTGATATGTTGTCTTTGTACTATTGTTAAATATAGGGTTTAAATGATCTGCACATCATTGCATTTGTTTTCATTTACATTTTGCACAGCATTCTAACTTTTTTGGAAATGGGGTTGTAAATAACAAACAGATGTGTTTGAATACTCCCGTCATATCAATTTATACTATATTCCGTATTTTAGAAGATAAGATACACTGTATTTTTATTGTACTTATGTTCTCTTGGATTTAATGTATGCTGCTGTAACAGCTACATATATACACCTGTACTTGTGTGTATTGAACTAAAATACAAACAAGGGAAGTAAGTTCCCTTATATGCAAAAAGGAGGACAAACCACTCACTTCACTTTAGAAACATTTATTGTACAACAGCAAGATAACTTACCCATGTCACTGCTCTCTCACACACAGTATTCATGCTACAACAAAAAAAAGAAGAAAGAAAACAGACTGAACAGATACATCCAGACAGTGCAAATGAATTCAGCCACTCAGCTGAATGGCCACATCCGCTTACACATCATTTCAACTAGTCATTTATTAAAAACATAAGAAAATAAATTAAAATTAAATAGTTATATTACTGTTTCACTAGTTTGCCACTATTATCATCAACAGTTCTATAAGAATATTTGGAGGTGATTGCAGGATTTTCATTAGACGTCGCTTTCACACAGACAACTTTGAGCTAAAGCCTCCAGACTGTAGATAAATCAACACTACCAAAAGAAAAATAAACAACGTACAAAAAATAAGAGCGAAGAGTGGACAGAGTGGAAGAGTGGTACCCAGAACATACAGAGCTGAAAGGTCTACTGCACCTCCATTCTGTCACATTAGGAGTCATAATTTACAGTGGTTTTGCTTCAGAGACCACAATAACTGAACAACTGAAGAACATCATTCCCTTAACTTGATCGTTCCCTCTAAATATTAAAAAGCCAGAAGACAAAGAAACAGTGGTGATATGCAAATGTACACACACATAAAATCTAAACGAATACATTTTGTCTTTGTTCAAGTAGAGAAACTACATAAAAATAGGTCTTAGTTCAACTTAATATCTCCCACACGCACATACACACACAGATTCACATGAGAGTGTCAATGTGTGTGCAGAAAACATGCATATACACACACGGGCAGCGTAAGAGATCAGACATCCATAAACAGATTAAACAGTAAGTCTTCAAATACAGTTTGAACTTTATCCGTAGTGTGAGCAAAAACGCACGAACACGTTCGTCACATCCTTCAGAAAGCATTTCAGAATGATATATGTTACCGTTTACCATTCATAGCGAACTACTTTCATGATTTCAGAGGGCTAAAAATTCTCATAATATTGGCAGATATCATTTTATATTCATATTTTCGATTTTGATATTATACTCCAATAGCTAAATAGTGCTTTACTGACACATATGATTGTCAACTGTCAAACTTCAATTATACAGAACCTCCAAAAAACAATAGTGTTAAATAACAAATATTGTAGCACTGAGGCATGAGCATTAGTCCTCTATATAAAAAATAAATATAAATGAAATAAAATAAGTTTTCTGTGTTTTTACATGTTATTAACCTCTAAAGCAGGGGTGCCCAAACATTGTGTCAAATAAGGATGGTAGGTAAGTTTCGAATCAAGTTATATAGTATTAGTATATAGAGTTTCAGAACGTTACTAAAATGCTATGTTGTTACTAAAATGATTCAAAAATAAAAATTTAAAAGGAAACTAAGAATTAGGTAGTTACATATAACTATGTAACTACTATATAAATATGTTTTGGGGTAAAGGGGTGGGGCTAGGATAACTTTCTGGTGGGCCATATGACAGGTCCTCATAGGCCGACTTTGGACAGCCCAACTTTAAAGGTTAGATTTGGATCCATTTTACATATTTTGGAATATGGAATTGCTGGAATTAAAAAAAATTTAATGCTAAACATGATGGTGTTTGTGTTTAAATGTACCAGTTCATCTGGTAATAAAACTGTTGTTAACAGAGTTAAATAGGGTCAATGCTACAATCATCTGAGATTTTGTCTGGTTATCAGTATATCATGAGTTCCAATCCCAGTGATGCCACGTCCAAAAAAGGTTGCTGTTTTTTGGTGCAATATCAATGACATTTTTGCCAACACAGTTCAAACCACAGGTGCACAAAACGACCTGATTTCATTGGCCAACTGATATACTGGTCGTGCCTTTTACTAACGCAAGACTGTGTAAAATGTTGCTTCACTTAATTCAAACATGCACTAATTTCCACATCAACATAAATTTGACTTACTTGTGGCAGTAACTGTGTTGATGTAATGCTGTGTTAATGTTCATTGATGTGGAAATACTGTACGGATTTGAATTAAGTAAATTCAATACATTTCTGCAAATACCGTCACATATAAAACCAGAGAATGAAACGTGTCCAAGGAGTATGGAACAGAAAACACTGACGTAGTGGGAGACATGAGGAAGGCAGAGGGCCGAGTTGTAGGGTTTGGCTAACGTGGTCCTGCGGCAGTAATGATAATACTGTCTATGCATACTTATAAACTACTGATCCTTCACACCAACCATGCACTTAGGATTATCTTGCGCAATTACACAACAACATACCTGCTCTATATATTAGCTACAGAATTTAAACCAAATGTTATAGTAACTCAAAGGTTTCTATAGACACATAATTTGGTACCCTACCTGAGATTAATCATTTTCTAGCTGAACAGTGTTACATTGAATACCGTGTATAATGTATTAAGGATCAATAATTGAACTTAATTTTAACACGTTTGTAAGCAAGTAGCTGTTAAAATGCACAGATTTGTTAACACTCTTTTCGCTGTGAGTTATGGATTTCTATGAAGGAAACAAGCATTTTGCAGAATTACAGTACTGAGAGACACACATACATCTTCTAAACCGCTTATCCTTCTGGGTCGCGGGGGTTGCTGGAGCCTATCCCAGCTGTCACTGGGTGGAAGGCAGGATACACCCTGGACAGGTCACCAGTCTATTGCAGGACAGTATTGAGACAGTAACAGTTATTTGTAAACCACTTTGGTCTGTATTTAAAGTGAAAACTGATCAAAGATGCTCATTCTGAAACTGATGCCTGCAACACATTCTAGAAAATTAGGGACGGAGGAATTTAAGACTAGGACAGCTGGGATATGTTCAAAAAAACGTCTTAAAACAGTTGATGCAGTCATGTTTGGGTATAAAAGGAAATGCATAGTCCTTCATGAGCAACGATGGGTGGAGGCTCAGACCAGTGTTCCTCAATGAGCGACTGCATGGATTTTAGGTATTTCACCACTCTATGGTGTAAACCATCACCAAACGTTTCAGGGAGTTTGGAAGCAAGGACGATCATTAGAACCAGCAAGCTCTCTCATGGACATCGTCAGATAGGCTCAAGAATACTTTGACAAACTATTGTCAAACAACAGAGTTTGTCGCTGTTGTACTTTGCAGAGAGGAAGCCACAGATCAACAATGTCCATAAATGCCACCGACTTCTCTAGGCTCAGATTCATCTGAAACAGACTGATGCACATTGGAAACGTATCGTGGTCTGACAAGTCAACCTTTCAGATAACCTTTCAAATAACGGACGTTATGTTCTCCAGGTCAGAGAAGAAAAGGGTCATCAGGATTGTTACCAGTGTAAAGTTTAAAAGCTGTCTGCCATGGTATGGGGGTTATTAAAGCCCAGGGTATGAGTAACTTTCACATCTGTGAAGTCAATGACATGATGCCAAGCCACATTCTGCACGTTACAACAGCATGGCTGCATAATCAGTGTGGTTGGCTAGACTGGCCATACGGTTGTGCAGCTGAAGACTTTTTATCTTCCAAACTAGATAATTGGTGCCTCAGTCCCCAAACGACTATGAAGTGTTGTTCAAAGAAAAGGTGGCGTAACAAAGTGGTAACCATGCTGTTCTGGAATGTGTTGCAGGCATCAAAATTCAGAGTCCTTAAGGTAAAGCATCAAATATTATGCCATTTTCCATGTAATACAGATCAAACAAAATTTACTAATAACTGCTTTTTTTATTGTACATACTGTCCCAACTTTTTGGAATTGAGATTTGTAATTCAAATATGATAAAATGCATACAAAAAGATTCAATGATACGGAAAAACACTAACATTGAGACGACTGCACCTGTACTCATGGATGGCTCTGTAATTCTGTATCACTCTATACAGAATGGACACACACACTGCAGTAGAGTCCCAACAGCCCACCAATAAAAATATTCCAAATTCACGAATGCCATTTTTTATCTTCAGGAAAGAACAATGGACATGACAGCCTCTCAAAGCTGGGAGACAACAAAAATAACCACATTTAAAAACTACTCTAAACTACACTATCCTGCTTTTCTTCTGCGAAAAACACATTTGCATCATTAAGACTATGGACAGTTCCTGTCAAAACTTGAATGACAGGAAATCTGATATGTGATAACGTCTTCAAGCAGGTCCTATGCTTGATGGTGTGTCTCCGGGCTTTGGGATACACCTCATAGGGGTTTGTACATGCCAGCAGGTGCAGATCTACTGTTTACAGAGAGAAAGTAGACAGACGGGACTGTTGCCTTCGCTAAGATGTGTATGTTATAACATAAAACAGACAAACAAAGGATGTTTAAACTAAAACAGTAAAAACTCAGATTACCTCGCCATCCTTGCCATGTTTATGATCAGTACACATGCCTGGAAGAGCAAACCGACTAGGCTTGAATATATTTGCTCACTGCAAAATCAATTTAAAAACATATGACACTGAAAATGGAAAACCATACGATTTTTGGGGTGGTGTGGATTAAGATGTCATTCCAGGTAAAAGAAAATCAGTATGGGTTAGATGTCCAAATGTGTTGTATGATATTTGTTATCTATCTATTCAAGAAGAATGCATAGTTCAACCATGACCTCTATCAACAGCATGGGGCAGAAACTAACACAAGACTGAGCCGGGCTGTCTGTGAGACTGTATGTGAGAAAGTGTGTCAGCAGGCTATGGGTATACTAGGTCTGGGAGTGGTAAAAGGCAAAAGAAACAGAAAATCTTGTTTCTTTGTCTGTGCAGAGGCATGCCTGAGCTTTTAGAGCTTTCACATTTCATAGCAGAGACCAGAGACAAAGACCTGTCCACTCGCTCAGCCCCTCTTTCTCTCTTTCATTCACTCGGCAGTTGTTGCACAGGGTGTTAAAGGACAGCTCCCTCTGCTGGCCAGGTGGTCCCAGAGGAGAGTGAGAGGGAGAGGTGGTCGAGGAGAAGGCTCTAGAGGGCTCTAGTTATACCCGGTGTCAGTCCGGTAACTGGTGTGGTGACTGTCCGCTTTCAGCTGAGTAGTCTCTGTGGCTGAAGAGGGCTGCACCATGATCGGTTCACCGTCTGTGGGTACACAGGCACACAAACACATACACACATTTATAAACACAAACGTACACAATTATTCACAACTCGATAGACCTCAGGTTGCGAAATGAAAATCTGCTCTTGGGATGCAATGATCACAAATTTTTACAGCTGATTTCTATGGAAAATTCAGATTCCAAATTAGCCAATGGTTGATTTTTATTATGGTTGATTATCCTTTATGAGTGAGGATGGGTCGAGTAGCCACTTTGACAAAAAATGGATCAGCAAATAGTCCAACTGTTTAATAACAATGTTCCTCAATGAGTGTTTGTAAGGATTTTAGGTATTTCATCCTCTACAGTACAAATCATCAAAAGATCTTGGGAATCTGGAAAAATCTCCGAGCGTAAAACACAATGCGAAAAACTACTAATGAGCGCCTATGACCTTCAAACCCTCAGACAGCACTGCATTCAAAACTGGCATACTTCTGTGATGGATATGACGACACGGTCTTGGAAATACTTTGACAAACCGTTATCAATAAACACTACTCATCTCTGAATCCACACATGCAAGTTATGGCTCTGCTATGCATGCTATGTCAACTGCATCCAGAAACGCTGCCACCTCTCTGGGCTTGAGCTCATCTAAAATGGACTGATACATCGTAGAAATGTGTACTGTGGTCTGACAAAACAACCTTCCAGATTGTTTATGGAAACAATGGACATTGTGTTTTCCAGGCCAAAAAAGTGAAGGATCGTCCAGATTGTTACCAGTGTAAAGTTCAAAATCAGGGTCTGTCACGTTGTATGGGTGGCTTAGTGAGTAACTAAGAAATGCTGAAAGATATATTTACATTTTGAATATTTATTGTATTTGAATGCAGCAGCATTTAGATACAGCACGAGTGCACCTACCTGACTGGTTATCTTCATAAAATTGCAACACAGATTAGCCAAAATAAAAAAAATAAATGGCCTGCTACCAATTGCAATTCCGATGTGCATCCATACTCTATATGGCCAAAAAGTAAAGTCAGTGTGCGTTCTGGCATAGCACAGACACCACAGGTGGAGAAGGTTCACAAACCCAGGAGCAAAATATATTTTTGACTTTCAAAATGCTCAAAAATAGAATAAATATTTCTGTTATTTTAGGCTAAACACAACATTTAGAAGTCACACACAGCATCACAGAATGTGTGCTGCTTCCTGTGATGTTGACAGACAGGCAATGATGCTGTAGTTTCTTTGGCAGTAAGTGTGGAGTGAAGAGTCACCATGATCAGAACAAGAAACTGTCTAAGCAGTGACCAAAAACATGCCAGCAAGCAACTGGCACAACAAGCCATTACCAAACTACCAAAGATAATGACTTGTTTAAAACATCAGAGCCTTTTCAGTTCAGCACTGTAGGTCTGTGTAGGTCTTGAGTGTTTGAGTCTGAGAGGAATAACGAAATTCACCTGACGTGTCTGCTAGCATTAGCTGCTGCTCTGCTGGCCACATTAGAAGCATTTCGCCAGTTCCCTCATCTTCTGATGTTTTATACAGAGATACTATCTTTGCTTGTTTGTCAGTGTCTTGTTGCGCAAATTCTTTGCCAGCTGCCTTTCTGGGCACTGAATATCCATTTTCTTTTTCTTATCATGGTTGAACTCCTTGCTCTATATATGAGTGCAATAGTCCTATGGTCTCACCTCTTTCATCAGACTGCATCTGGGCCTCCAGGTCCTCAGGGGACATGTAAAAATCGGATTCATGGTCCATGGGGGGCCGCGGTTTACACTTTCCACAGCAGCAGTTACAGCAGCAGCATAGACAGCAGCAGCAATAACAACCTGTGGCGATGCCACAGAAAATAAACAAGGCCTGGAGAGAGACAGAAAGATAGATTTACTGAACCAAATCTTTAACAAGTCAGAAAGACCATGGTAAATATGCTGTGATCTCAAGTAAAAAAAAAGCAAAACATTGTCTATTTAAAGCCAGTGGCATAACCTGGATTGAAAAAGAAAGACCCCCACCTCATATGAAATTTATCTTGCATAAATAAATTACTCTGTGCTCTAAGGTAGGCTAATGGTTGAATTATATTGCTAACTTATGACAGCTAAACATGAATCATGGGTGTAAGCATAATCAGGGATATAAGAGATATAAGGGCTCCTATATGGGCCCTCAAGCCTACACCTGCACTGTAGTTATGCCCCTAAATACAGCCATATATTAGTCTTGTGAAATCTTGTGATTATCCAGTCTTTGTGAGCAAAGGTCTAGAAGTCTATGTGGGTGCAGACTCACCTTGGCCCACCAGCTGGAGAGCACAAAGTATGTGTTGACGTTCTCCTCCCCAAACTGCTCAGCCACAAAGAGGCCGAGGGAGCCATACTGGTCATAGATGTTGCGTTTTGTGGGATCGGAGAGGATGGCATGAGCGTTGTTGATCTCTTTAAACTTCTCAGCTGCTTCTGGATTGTCAGGGTTCTTGTCTGGATGAAACTTCAGAGCAAGTTTCCTATGATGCAAAACAAGAGTGGCAGAATGACGTTCAGAGTCACAGGAGACAGGGTTGGTATAGTGTAGTGGGTAACACCTCTGCCTTCTATGCTGTAGACTGTGGTTCAATCTAAGCACCCTACACTATACCAATAAGAGTCCTTGGGCAATACTCCTAACACTACCTTCAGCTCCCTGTGCAAGGTGATCGAATTGTAAGTCACTCTGGATAAGAGGGTCAGCCAAATACCCTAAATGTAAATGAGCCAGCTTTGCCTGGAGCTGGTACTTGTATTGGTACTTAGTGGAATTTTTGAAGTTTCAGTATAATTAATTTAAGATGTAAACAAAGTTACTGAGTGCAGTTTGACATGAAACATGCCATCATCATTGTACAGAAATCTGAGTCTATCAGTTTCTCTACAATGCACCACTCTGAACGATTTGTTTACATCCCAAACAATTAATTGAGCAGAAATTAAAATAAAAATGTGTGGATTCCTCTTTAACTTCAATTTCCCTTTTTTAACCCCTCTGTCCTCTTTTCCTTACTGAAAACATTTCAGAAATGGACAATACCAACATATATGTTATATCTAAACAAGCTGAGTATGTATATAACACATACAAAGTTTTTCACAGTTAAGATTCAACTCTTTGCTGCCCTCTAGCGGACTAGAGTCTAACACTCCTTAGAAGCTGTACAGAAATACCAATCACTGGCAGAGAGCTCAAATATAGGCAGATATTGAAAACAGGTGAAGGTAGAATCATCTCCAAAATACTTCTATTATATCTGAAGGTTCCAATGAGCAACGATAATAATACTGCTTACCGGTAGCACTTTTTGATGTCCTCTGGTGAGGCAGTCTTACCGACCCCCAAGACCTGGTATAGTGTTTCCCCCGACGTGGAGAGAGAGCGCTGTCTTTGCTGGTCCGCCATTACTCACACAAACGCACACATACACATACACACGCACTCCCTCACACACTCCTCACCACAGCCTCTGATTGAAAAAGAAGAAGAAGCAAAAAGGGAGAGAGAGACATTTATTTAATGTATTATTCTACAAAATTGCTGTCACACAAAAACCTTTTACCTCCATTTTTGGTCATTTTTTTGCATAGTTTGAAAACTCCTTTACATTGTGTTAAGATTTCATGATGAATGGACCAAAAGAAATGATCCAAAATTACTTGAAAAAAGTTACATAACATAAACTTCTATTGAAATATGTGTGTACATTATATATTAGTTCTTTTTCATATTTTTAGATAGAGTCCATTTTTTGTTTTTCTAACACTTTCTGAGGGGAAAGGCACAACTGATCTGCTCATCAGTAGGTTTTCTTTTATACTATAACATCAAACACTTCCTGCATGAGCTTAGCTTGCCCTGAACTCTTCTCCAGTGATCCGCCACAGGAAGTCACGGCGTGAAGAGGTCACGCGGCATGAGTGTGAAACCATATGTCATTAACGCAGCTCTAACTTCTTCCCCTCAAAATGAAGTGTTTCCATACTGCGTCCTCATAACACTGCAGGTGTGAATAAAGCAATTTATCCTGCTAACTGGGTGCAGCAGACTACAGAGCATGTGTTCAGAATACAGTAAGACAGAGTAACGGACATACAGATCGTTAGTGGTTCGGCCCTCCAGTGCTCAGCAAAGTCTATCAATCCATTAACTCACAGTAATTCGAGGAAGGACACTTCCACCCAAAACGGTCACTTAGATTGTGGTTATTTTCCTGCACATTACTGGGTCATATTGACTAAGTTTCTCAGAGTAAAAGGCAACAAATATAAATAGTTCCTCTGTGAAAAAACTTTTAAGAAAACAAAAACAGGAAGTCATCTTCCACCCTCGGACCTTCCGGTGTTTGGAGCGAGACGGCTCCCTGCTCTGTGAGGCTAATCGCGCAGGCCTATCAGAGAGCATTAGCGGATTAGCTTTAGCAGAGCGTCTGAATACGAGGAGTTATTTCTGTCACCTCTCAAACCCTGCACGGCTCTTTACACTGCAAACTGTCTAAATAACCCGGAGAACGAGATGTACTGTGGGTTTAGGTGTCGGGGACTGGAAAGTATTACACAGCATTAAAGCCATTAAACTGCAAACCCACTGAACGATCATCTCTGGGGAACTTTTCAGGTGGTTTTCAGTGAATGTATGCATATTAGGGGGGGTTTCATTAAGGCTGATCTCACAGGACCTCCCTGTGTGTCCAATGCAGATACTTCAGTGCAACACACCACTGCTCCCTCCCCCTTTCTACCACGCTCACTCCGTTTCTGTTCCCTCCTCCTCCTCTCTCCTCCTATCTGCCTGGCCATATGGACAGGCTAAATCTTTTGTGGCGCTCTGTAATTCGTTCTCGCTTCTACAGCTTAATCTCAGTTGAGGCAGAGATGTGTTGTTGGTAGAATGGCAAACCACTACAAATGGCACAATACCACTTCTTCTTTTCTGATACCATAACTTAAACCATTGTACTGACTTATTCTGATCAGACTTTCTGCTGAGGACCAAGCAAATTAGCGCACAGCTACAGACTGACCTTAACATTAGTATGGCCTTCTATTCTCCAATAGGCCTGCCTTCATCACTGCTATTGAATTATGCTCTCTGTCTGTCTCTGCTTGTCCTTTCCTTGTTTACATTCTGCTTTGCTGCCCTGTATCAGGTCTGTGTCTGCTGAAAGATGAGAGCCGTGTCCTCGGCTGAGCTGTGCCTACTTTGAAAGGTGGGTTTACTCAGTACTGGCGCAGCCTGAGAGGGAACAATGCTCCTGAATGGTCTGTCATATCTAAGCACATATAAATGCGCACATCCGAAGTTTCATCACACGTTTTTTTTCGTTCACTGGGGCGGCTTCTCACCCAAGAGCCTGGCACAGTTCTTTGAATCTGAGAGGTCAAAAAGCTGTTCTGAATCACCTCCAAATTAATGTAGTTAACACATATAAAAAGTAGAATTAGGAAACTATTAGACTGAGAAATTGGAAAATTAATAGAGTACATCAAGTAGTATTATTACTATTTATAAAATGGATAGTTCCGGTCCTAAAATCTGATTGGCTGAGCTGCGTTCAAACCACTCCTATGACCGCCTCACAACAACTGAACTCTGTATTACTGCGCCAAGACACGAAAAACCCTTCTGCTGTTAATGGATTTATCTACGACTTTAATGCTTATTGCGTGGAGCACCGAGTGCACCATTTTTCTTTAAACTGAGGGGCTGAAAACTTATTTTCTTTACTAGAACTAGGCTGGTCAGCTAGCCAACAGGCTAAAAGATAGCAAACATGCTAAACAACTCCATCATTAATATCACAGGCTGGAATTAAAGTACTCACGATATGAGTCACTGGAAAACGTAAATATAAAAGTCTAAAAATGTCACCTAAATGTCTTACACACTTCGAATGTCCATGTTTCAGTCAGAAGTAGCGTCAAACCCAGGCTGAGTCCCAAACGGCTCCGTACTCCCTAGCTAGTGTGCTGTGTAACTAAGTTTAGAAATTCAAACTTCTGCTTGCTGAGTATGAATGTGGATGAGCCCCAAATGATCATTTTTAGTGATATTTTGATTTTTTGAGGTGCAGGAATCAGTATTTAAATTGTTACGTAGCTAGTGCACTATGTAGGGAGCAGGGAGCCGTTTGAGATTCAGCCCCAGCGTGAGAAAAGTGGCGTCGTCAGACTGGCAGAAGACTCGCGGTGGTAATTCGGTGACCAAAAAGTACTTATAAACGGAAGGTTTTTGCATTAAACAGTGCTGTGTTATCGTATGTTCACTGTTATATGACAAAAAGGTTTTAAAAAAATCATGAAATGTCTGCAGTTTACAGTAGCTCTTCTCCTCAGTCAGCGGTCGATGGCTAGCAATGATTCCCGTACTCTAAAGGAACTACATTTCTTGGTGGGATACTTATTCGATTATTATTAATAAGAACTTAAATAATTATCTAAAACATTGTGTATTTTAATGTATTTTATGGCTGCCGTTTTATTAAAGCAATAAGCCACTCGAGGCAGTGCGTTACTGCGATTTCATCATGGGGAAGGGAGTTTTAACCACTCAAAAAAGACCCTTCCTGTGATAAAATCGCAGCAACCCACAGCCTCTCATGGCTTATTGCTTTAATACATATCGTCCATCCATCCATCATCTAAACCGCTTATCCTTCTGGGTCGCGGTGGGGTGCTGGAGCCTATCCCAGCTGTCATTGGGCGGAAGGCAGGATACACCCTGGACAGGTCGCCAGTCCATCGCAGGGCTTAATACATATCGTGATTAAGTTTTTTTTTTTTTATTCATTGGTGAACATGGGTAAAGATTGGCCTGCATTAATTTTGACCATAATTATTAGTAGTCATTTAACAATGCATTGTGACATTGTGATAGTGCAATACAAAACTTCAACAATGCATATTTTGCATCATAGAGAATGGAATAATCTACTTACTATGCCATCGAATGCAACTGCATTATTTGAACACCAAACACCAAAACTTGCACTCACTCCAGCACTTCTTTTGCCTTCCAGCTCTGGTAATGTTAGAAAGCTGTGCAACAACATGATTATGATCATCACTTTTCTTCATTTTGTTTAAAATACTGTGAGAATACCCAATTGTGAAGTCAGTGTCGTGAATCACATCAAATCACAGGCTAAATGCATCGCTGCACTCCTAATCATTAGGGAAGCACAATGACATCGGAATCATTACGGTAACGGCTTGTTTAAAGGAATTTGCCCGTCCGCTGACCTACCACCACCATAACTAAAATACTGCTATCAGATTCCATAACCAAACTGTTAGTGTAGTTTCATTACTGTAATCCTAACCCCTAACAGAAACATGACAGAGATCACCTCAGTCCAGAATTAACAATGGGCTCAAAACAGCTTGGCTTTTTTAGGTTAATGATAACAAGAGACGAACAAAATGTACAAACTATTAGAACGTCTGCAGATTGTCACTATCAAATGCATTATTAATCAAGTAATCAACCAATTATTTTGGCAATTAATTGAATAATCAGAGCTTTAAAAAAAGGCTAAAATAGACTGAACAGCAACAACAATCCATCAACAAACCACCTTTCAAAAAATTCCAAAATACCTCCCTGGAAAAAAGCTAAACATGGAAAACTTTAAAACGACTTAATTAAAAAAAATGAATATATAAAAACTGTGACAAAACTAAATGAAAATGTGTTTATAAGGCTCTGTTTCTGCCTGTTACAGTAAGAGACACTAGTAGTATATTAATTAAACATTAAAATATGCATTAGCCTCATGCAGTATAGGCAAATAATTGTTTAAAGGAAATTTATCATCCCCGGACTTTTGTTTAGATTTGAACGCTAATTCAAACCGATATGTGATGAAGCATTTATTGTATTCTGGAAGAACAGAATGCTGGGCCAAAATGCCATTTTGTCACCATTGGGCCAGAATTCTAGTACCCTTAATGCCTCCCTAATACATATTCATGTGTGTTGGATCATGTGAATGCCTTGATTCTTCTAGAACACCCACAGAAACTCATCTGGAACATCTAAAGCCAGAGAGGATGCTCACAGCACACAGTAAAACATGTCAAATTCGTTAGCGGGCTGATTTGCTGTGATGTTGTTACCGCGAAAGCCAATATTATGATCACGATTGCTTTGCAACCATATAATATACACCAATAAACAACACCTGCATGACATTAACAGCAAAAGAAGAGTACAAAAGAAATGAGAAACAAAAGAGTGAAGTCACATGGTCTCTCTGTAGTGATATTAATTGTTTCCATGGCTACAAACAGACCATGAGTGTATCTATCTCTCTTGCCCTTTGTGTTTATGTGTGTGTGTGTAAGATGCAAAGCTCTAAACAGATGGCAGAGAATGCGAACGGGAAATCTAAAAAGGCCCAATTAGCACATTCTAAGATATAATTTATAGACAGCAGCAACATTTTGGCAAATAATCTTATTCTGCATC